GCTTCTGGCGCAGAGTAAATGAAGACACTTTACCAGTTCTTCTTTGACGGTTATATTTACATATATGTACACTTATATACAGGCAGGTCTCTACAGCACATCTAGAAGTCTTCACACAGTCCGACAGCATGCGTGGCAGAAAATCACATCAGAAGAAGAGAACATATCACAGACACAGTCCATATTTATACATAATCTTGTCTCTGTCCAGTCCAATCGGGTTCCAGGTGACCTCATCTCTGCACCTGGGCTCTTTCTGGTTTCACCTCATTGCATCAGCTTAGGATGATTCAGCTTTTCTCTCATCTGCACATAATGGCAGCTCGTTAATGAAACATATATGGGTTCAGGCCTATAAAATTCTATACCCTGACACTCTCTGAGTTGGGAATTGGTGGTCTCACCTTGGCGTGGATCCGTTCCTTCTTGGAGGACCATCCCCAGAGAGTTCAGCTTGGCAAGATGACTTCCATCCTGTGGATCCTCAATTGTGGGGTTCTGCAGGGGTCAGTCATCTTGCCAATGCTATTTAATATTTATATGAGGCCACTGGGTGAGGTCATCTGGAGTTGTGGGGCCATTCAGTACGCTGATGACACCCAGCTCTACCTCTCCTTTTTTTTCCTACTGCAATGGATGCTGTTCCTACCCTTGAACACTGCTTGGGAACCGTTCTGGGGTGGATGAGGGCAAATGGACCGAGGTTGAATCCGGACAAGACAGAAATCTTGCACATGGGGGCCTTGGCGTCAGTGGCTTGGGAAACTCCCTCTCCTTTGAGGATGTGACTCTTCCCACAAAGAGTGAGGTTCGCAGCTTCAGCATCTGCCTGGACCTGGATCTTACTATGGAAACCCAGGTGGCATCTGTGGTCCAGGCAGCTCATTTCCATCTTCGGAGGTGATGGGGGCGCTCATGATGCTGATTTATGCCCTCATAATCTCAAGAATAGACTATTGCAGTGCTTTCTATGTGGGGCTACCCTTGAGGCTGATGCGGAGACCTCAACCCAGATAACTGGGTTGAAGAAATTCCAGCACATCTCCCCCACTCTGGTCACCCTTCATTGGTTACTGGTTCATTTCCACATCGACTTCAAAGCTATGATGATAACATTCAAAGCTCTAAACAGTTTAGGACCTAGGCACCTATCAGAATGCCTGCTCCAAGCCAGATCTGTCCTTAATACCTGTTCTTCACAGGCGGGGTGGTTGATGGCCTTGACCCTGAAGGAGGCCTGGAGGGAAAGAACAAGAAACCGGGCCTTCTTGGTGGTTGCCCCCCACCTATGGAACAACCTGCTATTGATATCTGCCTGGCATCCTCGCTGGATGAGTTCAAAAGAGCATTGAAGACCTGGCTCTTCCTCCAGGCTTTCCAAGAGCACTAAGTTCTCGCCCTCCCTTTTTACCATCCTTTTTGCCATCCTCTCTATCAACCTTTTTACCACTTTTATTGCCATCTGTTTTAATTTACCCTATTTCATTATGTATTAATTTATTTTTATTGTGTTTTAATATTGTTCCTGATGCTGTTGTTAGCCGCCCAAAGTGACTTGGTTGCAAGATGGTGCAGGATATAAATTCAATAAAGAAATAAATACATAAATAATGGTTATGTAAGATGTGGTACACACCAATATGAAAAACCGTCAGTTTAACTTCTGTGCTTCACAGCATCCCACTAATAATTTTGTTCCATCTGAGTGCTGTCCTCAATTGCAAGATTTCTTTCTTCTTCCATATACAAATTTTGTACGCATTTTCATATATATACCTCCCTTAACAGATATATACTGTACTGTATTTCCTATTGTGCACATTTTCTGTAATTTTTCCTATTGACATGCAATGGAAAACTGTACACACAATTTTCAAATATGTGTTTTTCAGTTCTGTTCATATACCTGCGCATCATTTTTTTAAAAAAGAAAAATTGTGTTGTTTCTTCATGACAGGAAGCTAAAAGATATGCCTTATATCTTCAATAATAGACCAAGAGACCAGAAATTGCATAAATTCATTAAAAATTTCAGTCAGTGGGAATTTATTTTCAAATGGTGATATGGCCTACGCAATCTTCTTTGTTCTCCCTGTTAGAAACCTGTTGTCATTGTCCACAACCTGCGTAAGGAATACAAGAGTGGGAAGGCTTGTTCCTGTTTCAAGAAAAACAAGGAGAAGATAAAAGTGGCCACCAGAACAGTCTCTTTTTGCGTTAAAAAAGGTTAGATGGACCAAAAAAATTACTATTACCATTTTATAAAATCATTTGACCTAGAAACAGCATTTAATTGCATACTAATTTATAGTAATCGTTGATGTATTTGATGAGGATATTATTATTAGTTTTATTTATATGCCACATTTCTCCCAACAAGGGACCCAAAGCAGCTCACAACATTAAAATTCACACAATTTAAAAAAACAAATTAAATATTAAAAGATAAATTAAACAATATATGATTTAAAATACAATTAAAAGATTCAAACTTGAAAACATAAAAAAGATTAAAATGTCTGCTGAAATGGGGTTCAGTTATAATTGCTCAAAGCCTGCCTGAAGAGATGGGCCTTTAGCTTTTTTCCAAAGGACAAAAGGGAAGGGGCAACCCTGATCTCCCAAGGGAGAGTGTTGGTAGCTTCGATGACACTGTCCAACCATCTCATCCTCGGTCGTCCCCTTCTCCTCTTGCCTTCACACTTTCCCAACATCAGGGTCTTTTCCAGAGAGTCTTCTCTTTTCATGAGATGGCCAAAGTACAGGATCCCAGATCTGGGAAACTTTTTCCTTTTGGGAGGGTGACTCTTCCCACAAAGAGTGAGGTTCACAGCTTGGGCATCTGCCTGGACCTGGATCTCTTCATAGAAACCCAGGTGGCATCTGTGGCCCGGGCAGCCCATTTCCATCTTCGGAGGATTACCCAGCTGCGTCTCTATCTAGACATAAGGGCAGTCACAATGCTGATTTATGCCCTCATAATCTCAAGAATAGATTACTGCAGTGCTCTCTATGTGGGGCTACCCTTGAGGCTGATGCGGAGACTTCAACTCGTCCAGAATTCAGCGGCCAGATTAATTCCAGAGATCAGCCAGAGCTTTGACAGGATTGCCTGCTGAGGCAACAGGAAACTCCCCAAGAGCCATCAGAAAACCACTTGGATCCATCAGTCTCCTGGGGCGGACCATCCTAATAAATCCTCCACACCTGCAGAGATTAAGAGATCCAGATAGTGATCTGTCCATGACAATAGAACTACAGACAGTTCTTCCACACCCAGATCACCATCATCATGCCCAGCATGAAAAACAAGGCCCAGAGTGTGCCCTGCTATGCTTGAAAGTGTAATCATATACATGTCTGTGCAAATGTAAATCTTCCTTCACCTCTATCACATACAACTGCCAGGTGACATATTAGTGACTTTTCATTTTCATAGACTGAAGTACAGTCATAATGGGAACTTACAGTAGTTCTCTCAATGTAAAAGTTAGGCTTGAATCTACTTCTGGACAGAGTTCCATCCCTGGGATAATGCTGCTGGAGGTAATTCTTGCTGATTCCTCCCCCTCCACCACCACACAACCCATGATTTCTGAAACATTGTTTTGGAGTGTTAGAGTTAGTTAGTTAGGCATCCTTCAGTCTCGAAAGACTATGGTATCGTGCTCTGTATGGAGGACTTGGAGCAGCATCTAGTGTGGCTGAGGAGGCCGATTCGAGAGTGACAGTCTCTTCCACACTGAAGACAAATCCAATTTGTCCCCTGTCCAGCTCCCTGGTTTTGCTGCTTTTGTGACTTCCTCTTTGCCTCAGCCTGCTGGGCAAGGGTCTCTTCAAATCTCTGGATGTTGAGCTGGACAGACGCATTGGCAAAGCAGCTACCATGTTCTCTAGACTCACAAAGAGAGTATGGCTCAATAAGAAGCTGACGACACATACGAAGGAGTGTTAGAAGACCTCGGTGAAACAGCACAGGTCTTCAGGGCCTTATTGGGGGGAAGAGGGAATGGGTCAAATTGCTCATCACCCTTCCCTCAAGACTCATCTACACTGGCTCTTCATTCCTTCCATGAATGGAAGAAAACCTTCTGTTAGAGGAGAAGCAAGGTCAGGTTCCAACTGATAGAAATTGACTCTTTCAGAGAGCACTGAGCTTCTTCTTCTGCTCTTTATTTGTTTTTCTCACATAGTTTAACATATTTAATTGATATCACTAATTAATTGATATCACTAATTAACTGGGAATTGAGAGTTGCTAATAATATTTTGTATGTTTTGGAGATGTTACCTCTCAAATGAGTCTCATCAGCAGAATCTGTTGTTGGAAAACTATGAATTTGCACAGCCTGTTTTGATACACAAACATGAGATGTGGAAATAAATCAATCCATCCATCAAACCTTTTTTTTAAAAAAAAATTCAGTAAACACATAGGGATTAAATTCTGTCATGGATGAACTTCCTGATAACAGACATACCTCCCACATGCACTGATTCCCAATGTTTGAGAAATTGGAAATACCACCATAAATTTATGAGACCGGTAGCAGTCTTAGGATATTTGCACCTCACCCTCCCTGTGTAATCCATGGAGTTCATCCTTAGGGAAATGATGATTTCAAACCCTGCCCCCATCACCTACCTCAATGCTGGATTTCTCTTGAGCACACAGAACCAGTCTCCTTGAATTTACAAATCATACTGCTTACTAAAGAGCATTTTGCTAATACAATTAAGAAGAGAGAGAAGTGATGCTGTATGTATAAAAAGGGCAAGATATCAGGTGTAGTGGTGGTGGTGGTGGTGGTAGTAGTAGTAGTAGTAGTAGTAGTAGTATCATCATCATCATCATCATCATCATCATCATCATCATCATCATCATCATCCCTGGTGTATACTTTTCATGCTTTGATGCATTTCTCTATACTGCTTCATACTTTGGATCCTTTTCATTTTACCACACTGTGTTCTATATTTAAGTACGTACTTTAGTCATTTATTCAAGAATGCATTAAAACACATGCACTTACAGAAAAACAAAACCAAACTAGTGGGAGTGGGAGAAAAACTGTCTGCCTATGTAAGGTAAAGCACGTGCTATAACAAACACATGCCTTTTACCAGTTGAGATAGCATGGTTTCTAAATATATGTGTAACAGTCTCTTGTTCTTTCTTTGTTTCTGTCTGTCTGTCTAAGTATTGCAAACACAAACTTTACAAAAATGTTATATATATTTATATATAAAGTTTTGCAAAGTTTGTACACACACACACAGAGAGAGAGAGAGAGAGAGAATGACAATAACAGCAGGATTTGCTAGAAGAAATAAAGAAGAATTTGATGATGATATGTGTGTCATTGTGTGCACCATTAATAAAAATGATTAGTATGTCTGTGTCTGTTGTAGGAGAAGTTTTGGGACTACTGGGACCCAATGGAGCTGGTAAAAGTACAACACTCAGTATCATAATAGGAGAGACAGATCCAAGTGCTGGACAGGTAGGTGCAGGTTTTTCTTTCCTGTTTATTATATTCTTTTGTTCCTTTCTTCTTCTTCTTCTTTTTCTGCAAGATAAACTAGTGAAAACAAATAAAAATGAGACACCTGCATTCTTGTGTGTATATTTGCTTTAAATAAAGACAAGGTATTGTCTGTTATCATGTACTATATAACACACAATCAGGGCAAGGTCTGAGGGGCCAAAGAGAAGATCAGGGCAATGAGATAAAGGGTAATAGAAATATAACAGTTACACTATTTACTAGACTAGTATATTTCCAGGAATTATAGACTGTTCTTCTATCTCAAAGAAATTACTGAAATTATTCCAAATCAAGGTAGATTAATATTTATAGTAGATCACACCAAAGTTTCAATTATGATGGGATGACTGCTGGGATACTATTGCAAAAAGACATACTAAGTAGGTCCCATATCTTTATGAATTTGTTTTTTCTCATTCCTTTTAGCAATCTGGCCCTATGAGTTAGGTGATCCATTGAGAGCCAGGCTGCACAGGAGAAAAATGGGGCAAATACTACAGGCTTAGAGCAGCTTGATTTGTATTTTTCCCTTTGATAGTGTGGTGCAATGGGAAATCCACATCAGGCCAGAGTCCTATATCCCTAATTCATAGATTTTCCTCCCCACCAGAGACCCTTCTATTTTTTTTAAAGTCAAGACCAATCGAGCACTTGAACACACACACACACACACAAACACACACACACACACACACACAAACACACACACACACACAAAACAAACAAACAAACAAACAAAGTGGTCCTTTGGCAAACCACCTTCCCTCTAATCTGTTGCCCCACAAGGGAGGACAAGAAGTATGTGTGCACACACAACTGCAGCACCAGCACTCACCTTTCTCTGCAAAGCCCCTCTCCCAAGAAACTTTTTTAAAAAAGTTTCTCCTGGGTGGGCAGAGCTCTTGTTTATATATTTATATATTTATTACAAGTTAAGAAGCTCTCCTGTTGGCAAGATAAGATGAGGAACTGGGCAACTAAGGGAAAAAATGCCTTCTTAAGGCAGTTCCTTTGAATCATGCCAATCACAGGTGCCTTAACACAAGTGCAGTTAGAAGGCTTTTGCTCCTCTGCCTGTGTGGCCACTTAAACTGAATGCCTCAATACAAGTGCAGTTAAGAAGGCTTTTGCTCTGCCTGTGTGGCCACTTAAACTGAAGAAAACTGAATCCCTTGGTGCAGCTTTAAAGTGACAAGATATGAGTTAATTCGCATTTCCCCTCATTGTATATCCCAACACAGGTTCTCATTGACTGTTAAGCTTTGGATTTACCATATCATGGATTTTTTGAATGATTTCTAGTCTGCTAGCAGATAGTAATAATAATATAATGTCTTTATGGAGAGACTTTGACTTAATCTCTATGAATAATGAGTGGTTTTCCCTATGTGAACCTACTTTATCCAATAAGATCTGCTGTGGAGGCCCTCCTCACCGTCATAGACTGTACACTATGTAGAGAAAAGAGGGAGGGGACTTTCTCAGCAGTAAAACCCTGACCTTCGAATGCCCTCCCCTTGGAGGCTCAGCTAATGTTGACACTGACATGATTTCAGCACTGAACCAAAACATATGTATTTACTAAAGCTTTTTGAGACTTGAGGATCTTGGTCTGTGCAGATTTTAATGCAGTGGTTTTAATATTGTAAAGTTTTATGTGTTTTAAACAGATTGACAACAGTTAAACTGTTTTTAAAATTGTCTCTTTCAAGTTGTCCTATATGGCTCTGTGTAGCGATCAGCCCCACCCTCACCTATCCGTCACAGCTGAACAGTGCAGGAGGAGCCAATGAGTGGACGGAAGGTGGAGCCCAAGGGGGGAGGTGTGGGATATAAAGGCTGGTATATGGAGTATGAGGAGAGATTCTGGTAGTGAGAGACAGTGTGAAACTTTAAAAAGTGAACTGGTAGAGAGTTAGAGATCTGTAAGAATGCTAAATGGTACAGAGAGTTAATAGAGATTTAAAGTAAAACTGATGCAAATAAAAGTGATTAGCAACCTGTGATTTACCTATTGAATATTAATCATATGTTAACTTTCCTGATCTAATAAATGAGTTAAGTTTTAAAAGTACACATGTCTCCTTGAGTGAATGGTATTGAGGCAGCAATACCTGGTGGCAGCGAAGAAAGAAGAAGGGCGAGAACCTTGTGAAGACCTGAAGGGATAGGGGCTTCAGAGGAAATTGCCACACTTTGTAACCACCACCATCCTTGAGATCTTGTGAGACAGGGCAGGTTATAAATAAAATAAATGTGTTAAATAATGATAATCACAATGATAAATATTAAGATTCTACAGAGCCCAGCTGATTGGTTTCTACTGAGACCTAAAATATTATGAATTTAATGCAAGAATCATAGAATCATCATAGGGTTGGAAGGGACCTTGGAAGTCTTCTAGTCCAACCCCTCCTGCCCACGGCCTCATACTGTCCCGGACCTCATACCATCCCAGACCTCATACCATCCTGGACAGAAGGCTGTCCAATCTTTTCTTGAAAATCTCTATGCCCATTGGACAAGTAACTACATACAGTATGTAAAAGCATATATTCTCCTCCATAGTATCTTTAACATAAAGAGGTCATCTTTTCTCTAATATGGGAGAGTTTAACCAAACTTAGATGCCACTGATAAGCATGTTAAAGGTTATTTCTTTTAGCTGAGCTGGTATTGTTCTGAACTGTAGAAGAATCCAAAGTTTGTTTCACTGTGAGTCAGTGAAAGTGACAACCAAGTCTGTTTAACAGACTATTATGAACTCTTGAGTTTACAATTTACCAGCCATTGATATATTTTGGATGGCTGTCATTTAGCTACATTGCATGGGCATTGACAGAGATTTTTCAAGTCAGGCAGCTATCTTGGTGGAAGGTGTAGCTGCTTTTGGAAAAAAATTCAAATTGGAAAATCAATGAATTAATGTTTAATGGAATATCCCTGTGTCTATATAGAAACATATTACTACATCAAGGCTGAAATTCTATACATATGTATCTGAGGGTTGCTCCATTGAAATCTTTAGGTTTTGTTTCTGTGTAGAATTGCACTGTGAAGCTACTGGTGAAATGTTTTGTTTTGCATTCATGTCAAACAGTTAGCTCTCAAATACGAAGGTGAATAAAATCTAGCAACAGTGAAGTTTCTGATATGTAAAAAAATTAAAAATTATGAATTTAAAGGACCAACAAAATGTCACAATACCACCTATTTTGAACAGGTGTTGATAAAAGGGGTGGATGCACCTGCAAATGAAGAAAACACCACCGGCTTCCTTGGCTACTGTCCTCAGGAGAATGCCCTCTGGTCCAACCTGACTGTCAAAGAACATCTGGAGATTTATGCAGCTGTGAAAGGGATACAGAAAGATGCTGCTGCTGTGGCTATTAACCGGTACGAGTGGCAAAAGATCCCACATTCATTGTACAGCTCAAACCTCAGAGGTTTTGCCTGTAGAAATTGTAACCTTTCACTTGATATGCTCCAGCGGTACCAGAGACTGAAAGCTGGTCATGGTTCAGTTTTCAGTTTTCTTGTTAGTGAGAGACAATAATCCAGTAATCCTGAAACTGTATTAGCGAAGGTTTTCACAGCCAGGATCTAATGGTTGTTGTGGGTTTTTCGGGCTCTTTGGCTGTGTTCTGAAGAATGTTGCAGTCCATTGAAGATGCCAGCCACAGAGACTGGCAAAACGTCAGGAAGAACAACCTTCAGAACACGGCCAAAGAGCCTGAAAAACCCACAACTACCATTAGTCCTGAAACTGTCTTGCAGGACCTTCTTTTTGCTGTTGCCATGCAGAAAGTGTTCATTCTGAGAATAAACTGAATAGTCTCTTTCTTCTTTTCTTTCAGGGTAGTTGAAGCTCTAGAACTCCAAGAGCATTTTAAAAAAGCAGTCAAGAGATTATCTGATGGCATAGCTAGAAAAGTAAGTTCTATTTTTTTTATTTTAGTCCAAATGTATAATGTTAGTTACAGGCCCAGGAGCACCAAGCAATATTCATTGTCATCATCAATCTTTATTATGGTCACAGACCAGCAAGATTATTAAAAAACAAACAGAACATACAGAAAAAAATCTTATATATAGTATATAAAACCTTCTTTAGGGTGATTGCAACATTTCCTCTCTAGTTCCCATAGTAATCAACAAAAAGTTAGACACTCTGTCAGTAATATAAATCAATGCACCCTCTAAGGAGGACAGCAGCAAATCTGTAGGGCTACCGTTCAGAGAGGCACCTATTAGTGGAGAGATTAATTACTTTCTACAATCATCATACATTCTGCAGTGAAAAACAACATGTTCAAATGATTCAATATCCCCATTTCCACAATGACAAGTTTGATAATTAAACGGAATTTCCCTAAATGGCCCATCTAGTATAGCTGATGGTAATACATTAAAGCAAGCTAACATGAATGCTCTTTATTTTGGAATGGACAATGCATATAAGTATGGAGCAATGGAGAACTCATAGTTATTAATTTTATTGTAGATCAGTGGAGAGCAGCATTTATTAGCGGCACTTAAGTGCTGTAGGTCCAAGTCTATTAATCTCTGGACAACAAGGGATTTAATCTTCTGGTAGTCATGACTACTCAACATCTTCTACTGAGAGACCTAACTTAAATAGCTTCTTCTCCATCTCTCTTGACCATTGGGTGATATAGGTATCCTTAAGCAGTAGAGAGCAATAACTACCAGGGATTGCTAGAAAGTATAGATGTAGCCACCATTCAAAGGCCGCAATCCATGCCTTGCATTCTACTAATCTAATGCCCAGTTCCAGATAAATAGCAGCAAGATGGAAGGCCCAACAGTTTCCTTAAGAAGGCAGATTGAAGTTTTTCAACTTCGGCTTTGAATCCCAGTATCCAAATAGGGATGCCATATGTAAGTTGGGCCTGAGTCCTAGCCTCATAAATTTGAATAGGAGAAGGGATATATTGACCCCTTGCATGTAGAAAAACCTTAGGATCTGCTGCTGACTAGAACTAGCTGAATCAGTCACCTGCCTACACTGTTCTACCCAAGATCCCATGTTCTGCAGTTGTATGCCTAAGTAGTTGGTGCTGCCCACTTGCTTAATGGCATTGCCATTTAAGGTCCATCTATATTGTTTAAGAGCTTTAGAAAACATCAGCGCTGTTGACTTACTATAATTGATGATCAAATTATTCTCAGAGCAATAATTCTCAAAGGCAGAAAATAGCTTATTTAGCCCAGTTCTTGATAGTGGTAGCAGTACTACATCATCATCGGTGTACAAGAATAAAGGTGGCTTGGTATTTGATAACTTGGGAGCATGAGAGTCAGTGCTGCTGAGATAAGAAGGCAGATCTTTGAGAAATATGTTGAAGAGAAGGGGGGGGGTCAAAATACATCCCTGTCTTACACGTCTTGTTACTGGGATTGGATTTGAGAGTTCTCCCTGCAGTTCACACATAACTTGACCAGAGGTCTGATTGTATAGACTTCTAATAAGGAACAATAGGCACTTATCTATATCAATATTGAGAGTCTACTCCTGCTAGAGTTGCCTCCTTGGTACTACTCCATGCCCATGAGGCTGCTCTGGACCTACACCACAATTTCATCCTCTTCCTCCCTTCCTCACAGTCATTTACAGGGAGCACCAATCCACCTTGCTGTCAGCTAAGAGCAAACTTAAGGAGTCTGACTATGGGAGAGAGGAATCAGAGTTACCACCAATCATAGTGAGGAAGGATTATTGGTGTGGGTGTGGAAGCATACACTGAGGGCCCCTACAAACCTGAGCTGGCCCTCATGACATCCTCCACATCAGATTTACGTACTAAGAGCAAATGATTGACATACACAGTGTGTCCTACTGGTTCAAAGCTCAGCCTGAATTCTTTGAATTATTGTGGTATGAATGTGGGGAATTTATACTGGAGGATCACAGAATCTTGCAGATGTTTCTAAAATGGACAGGGTTTCTGAACAGAATTTTCCAGCTCAAAATGAAATCCTCTACCCGGCCTTGCAAACATTAAGAGTGGTGTATTCACCTTAAGAATCCTCCTTGCTTTGCCTCTGTTAACAATCCAGTCCCTTTTAAAACTAATCACAATTCATTCTGTGAAAGTTTTATAAATTAATTGCAATTGGAAAACTATGCCTACCAGCATTGTTGTGTTTGAAGTCCAGGAGCAGGAGTAGCTAGTGTATGAATGATAATATATGAAGAATCTTAAATAGTTTAATGTGAATACACACCCATGTATCTGATGATGTGGACAGTTGATTAGGACATGTTATGATAAGAGACAAATGTGATGCTGTGATGTTACCAGGCTTTGTAATTTCTTGTATCATGTAATGCTTGTATCATGTGTTTCTAATATTGATTAGGACATGTTATTATAAGAGACAAATATGATGTTGTGATGTTACTAGGCTTTGTAATTTCTTGGTTTGCAAATGTCCAGCATGTAATGCTTGTATCATGTGTTTCTAATCTAACAACATTTCCCTGAAAAGTATGGGATTTGAAACTGATGTCTCAAGTTTAAATTCACACTGAGTTAATACTCTACCATCATCAAGTAGCCTGAAATCCTTGAGGCTAAAATGTGTGATACAATCTAAAAATTGCTTGTTGGCTGCCTTAACGTTGTTATTTTGTTCGCACTCACGCAATGACAGAGCAGTTTCTGAGCTTTTCCTCTTCAGCAGTTGTCACCATGGAGACACTTCTCCTATACTGAGACACCCTGCCCACATTATTTGCTTTCATTCCTTTTATTTATTTACTCTTCATCTTTAGATCTTGCGTCCTTGCAAGAGTTTCCAAGTGACTTTGGAACCACGTAGGCTCCTTATCTTTTCAAAACTGAAATTGCCTTTCTTTCGTCTTAGTTGTGCTTTGCCCTGAGTTTGTTGGGCAGTCCTCCGGTGATGCTTTTGGACGAGCCAACCACAGGGCTGGATCCCAAAGGAAAGCGGCAGGTGTGGTGAGTGGCCCATCTGTTACTGGATTTTCTCCATTTCCAGTTGTGACCAAAATCCTGTCTCCCGCTCTTCCCAGACTTGTGGCATCTTAGCACCTCTCGCCCTGCAGCCCAGACTGGTTTCGGTCCTGTCCCCTTAAGTCTCTTCTTTTCCTGAGGTAACGTAGGACTGGAGATAGAATACTCCGTTCTTCCGCCCCTGGAGTTTCATCCATGAACTCAAGATCAAACTGAACAGTGGGAACAGGCTGCACTGGCTGATTCATCTGTAATCAGTCTTTTGTTGTCTGCAGGAAAGCAATTCATGCCATTTTGAAAGAGAAGGACCAAGGAGCCATTCTGACAACTCACCACATGGAGGAAGCTGAGGCAGTATGTGACCGAATAGCCATCATGGTGACTGGACAGCTCAGGTGAGCGTCGTCATGCATTTTCTTATGTAGCATAAAGTATACCATGTATGCTACACAACTTCAGAACATGTGCTGATGGGGCAAAAAAATTCTTTTTTTTTAACAATCCATTTCTCTTGTATAATTCAAAGAAGTTAATTTTGTTGAATATATAATTGCTATATATTTTGTTCTATTAGTGTCCATCTTATTATGTATAGATTACACATGTCAACGGGGATCATGAAAACTAAGAATGAAGGGCTACAACAGAATAAATAATACTTTCAGGCTTTCAAAGAATACATGAGGGGGACTGTGGACTAAGCAGCCTTTCTGCCCTCCTTTTAATATCTGTGTGTTTGGCACACTTTTAGAGCCAAATGTATGACTGGGGGAGGCCATGTGACCTCTCTCCTGCATCCTTAATCCACTTACAATAGCACCGAAAGGAAAGCAAATATTCTGAAAGAAAAGGTCACAGAAATACAGTTTACTGGGGGAGGGGGAGAGACATGTAATGTAATTGTCACATGATCAGGTGTGACCAGTTATTGAGACCTAGTCATCCAGACTCATTTTAAACCAAACCTTTGGCCGTCCTGATAGGTGGACTTACTTTGCTAGGCAGTGAGAGCAAGCTAGTTCTCCAAGATTGATCGGTGACCTTGGAAACTAGCAGCCCAGCACATATCCTGAGGCCCTTTCCTCATCCGTCTCAGAGGTTTCAGTTTCTCACCTTCCACGTCTGGCAATCCCATTCTCTTCCCAGCTGTTCCTCTTTTAGGACATCCAGCTGGCAGTTTAGGCTTACCCCACCTCCTTGTGCAAGTGACTCCCATCCACAGGCATCAGGTGGTTGCTACAACTGATGCATCGTGGGGGAAAGGGGTGCAGGGCAAGGGCAGACAGGCTGGTAATGAGGTGTGGAAATGTATGAGCAATTACCTTCAAATAATCAACTATGATTTTAGCAGGTGGTAGCTATCAGTGATGGGTCATATGTAAGCCGACTGCTGTTATGCTAAATTGAAAAGAATGTAAATTTGTTTTCGTGGGCTCTCCAGATCTTTTGTCAAACAAGCTATCTCAAAAGACTAAATTTGAAGCTGGGCAAAAGGAGGACCAAGGACCTAGAAATCCTGGGGGCAAGAATGGCAAAAAAAATAGGTTGATTCTCCTGTTTGGAAGACATAAAAATCATCTATCAGTGGTCCCCAACCTTTTTTGAACAGCGGACTAGTTCAGTGGTGGTGGGTGGCATCCATGCATGTGGGGGGCCGTGCGTGTGGCCATGCATACGTGGGTGGGGTGTGCATCTGTGCATCCGTGAGTGGGGCATGCGTGCATCCATGAGTGTATGTGGGGGGCATAGGTGCGTACGTGCATGGGGGGCATGTGTGTAGGGGGGCAGGAGATCTGTCTCCACGGCCTGGTCCTGCCAAGGCCTGGTACCGGGCTGCAGCCCAGGAGTTGGGGACCCCTGATCTATAAAATCCGAATTGTCTCCATATGGGGAGAAGCACATTGTCTCCCTTTACACTGGAAGCAGTAGTAACAGAGCTGGAGGCAATTTTGGAAAAAAGAAATTATCATAAGAAGCCAAACTCAATGCCTTATTTAATGGATGCTTGGGGCAGAACTTCAGAGACTAAAGTCTCAGCTGCCCTATGGTGTCCCAGAATGAGTAGTGAAAGCTTATCTAAGACAGGTGTAGGCAACTGAAGGAACCCCGCTGTGCAGTGGTTAAGGTGTAGTACTTCAGTCAAGCCTGTGCTCATGACCTGAATTCAATCCTGATGTGTTGAGGTAATTGGGTCAAGGTTGACTCAACCTTCCATCCTTCCAAGGTCAATAAAATGAGTACCCAGCTCACAGGAGAGCCCCTCCCAATAATTGTCCCTTGGATAATTATGTTGTAAACTGCCCAGAGATTGCTGTCCATTATGGGGCAGTATATAAGTCAAAACAACAACAACTGTGACACTGCCCCCTATATCTTCTTGGATTTCATATTCCAGCAATTCAGCAAACCTAAACCGCAGAAGCCTCTGGGCTGCAAGGTCAGAAGACCACGCAGTCGTAAGATCGAATCCACGTGACGGAGTGAGCGCCCGTCGCTTGTCCCAGGTCCCGCCAACCTAGCGGTTCGAAAGCATGCAAATGCGAGTAGATTAATAGGGCCCACCTCGGTGGGCAGGGAACAGCGTTCCGTGTCTAAGTCGCACTGGCCATGTGACCATGGAAGATTGTCTTCGGACAAAACGCTGGCTCTATGGCTTGGAAACGGGGATGAGCACCGCCCCCTAGAGTCGAACACGACTAAGCAAAAATTGTCAAGGGGAACCTTTACCTTTTTAATGGTCGAGAGATTGAGGATGTTGGAATCAAATGACAACTAGAGGGCTACAGTTGCTCGTGCCAAATCTAGGAAGAGACTGTGAGACGTCCACATTTATTAGCCTTTGTAACTTTATGTCATATATGATTCCTTTCTACTGTAGGTGCCTTGGGTCTATTCAGTATCTGAAAAGCAGATTTGGCAAAAATTATTTGCTGCAAATAAAAGTAAAAGGAGTAGAGCAAGGGGAGCTTCTGAATACTCACATTCTACAGATCTTCCCACGTGCAGCTCGCCAAGAAAGGTAACTGCGAAACCAACCTGCAGTTTGATTGTTGCGTTCTTGTTTGATCCTTACTGCACTTCTGAAATTCTTGGCATGAGTCAGATTAAGAAGGTAGGGAGGATATACCCATTTCCTCCTTCATGTCATTAACCCTCTTATTATTATTATTATCACTTAACCAATTATTTCAATGTGACCTAACATGAACGAAGCAGTTCACGTTATTTCTAGAGACCAAACCCAGGCAACTCCAGTACAGCTGGCATCTGCATGCATCTTTGGGTGTCTAAGGAACCATGCACACCGTTTCTTTTCTGTTCTATTAACCAGTGCAATGATCCAGGATTACAAACAGTTCAGCTGATTGGACTGACCTTCCAGAGCTGTGGATGTGGAGGTGTTTTAAGAACTGCTGCTCTGGAGTACAGGATGTCTTATGTGTGTGACTGGATCTAAACTTTTTAAACAGGAGACTGCACATGTAACTCCGGTTGCCCTGCCTCTGCTGTTTCTGATTTTATTTGTTCTTAGGCTATCCACTTTGTTGGTCTACAAAGTCCCAATGGAAAATGCACTGCCCCTCTCCAGAGCCTTCTCCATGCTAGAAGAAGGTATGTCTGATTAAATGGCTTAGACAGTTCATGGAAGGTGAAGATATGTAAGGCCCAGTTGGGGTAGCACTGCCCCTTTCTTTTGCTTTCCCTCCCTCTCCTCCACATGGGAAGAGGGGGGACAGAGCAAAGTCTGATCCTAAGTTGAAGCACATGGTAGAAAAGTTCCAGAGGTGGAAGGCAAGGGAAATTTGAATGGCCCCCAAGTCAACAGACCATAATTGTTTTACCTTGATATCCACACAGCTAAACGAAGGTTCAGCCTTGAGGAATACAGCTTTTCTCTGAACACTTTGGAGCAGGTATTGTGTTTTTTAAAAATACGGTGACATAAAATACGGTGGGATTGGTAGAGGGAAGCAACTTGAGGCCTTAATTCATTTGCTACTCTCAACTAGAGAAGATATATTGAATCAATGGCTGATTGGTAAGCTGACACTTATGTAAATCCCATTGTTTCAGTGCTTCCCCTTTAGTTGGAAGCAGCAGTTTGGCAGTTTGTGCTGTTTATCGCCGAACAGGCTTTCGGTGCATTAAAGCCCCGCCTCCTCTAGCCGCAGCCCACTCAGAGGCAGCAGCCTGGCTTCCTTGCCCTGCCTCCTCTGGGTGTTGCCTCTGAGTGGGTACCTGCCAGAGGAGGTGGGGCTTTGAAGTGCCAAACACACATTCAGCCAATAACTGAACTGGGACATGCCCATCTCTAATTGAAACTAGGAATTGGATTTAGGCCCAAATCTCAGTGGATGAAGGCCACATTTGGCACTTGTGCAGCTGCTGCTAGATGAGGCAATTAACTGCAAAACAGAGCATTGCATGTTGCTTCTATCCTTTGCTAGATCTCTGTTTTCACCACTGTGGGCTCCATGCCCTGCTCCTTCCACTACACTGGGTGCTGTGGAGATGAATGTGTTTAGAAATTCTAGTGAACTTCTCTTGAACTAGATTGAGGTGAACTGGTGGGATGTTAGCAGTTTAGGTATCTGGTTGCAAAGCCAGAGGTTGGGAGTTCTGTTCCCCACTAGGCCTCCTGGAGTGGAGTCAGACTGTGTGCCCTTGGGGGCAAGCTGCACAATCCCAGGGTACCCCCAGTAGAAGGTGATGGTAAACCACTTTCGTATATTCACTACTTAGAAAGCCCTGTAAAATGTTGCCATAAGTCAGAATCGATTTGATGGCACACACGTATTATTATTAGACTGAGGTGATGACTAAGTTATTTTCAATCTTTTTTGCTGCTGTTGTATGACATGGTCTTATATTATGGAATATACTTATGAGAAAATATGTCAGGGCAAATTCTGAGGGACATGGCCAACCCCGACTAGTCCTGGATGAGAGGTGAGGGGCTTGCTTTCTTCTTGGGTTTTGACCATGTAGCTTTCTTCTGCTACACCTTTTAATGATTGATGGCATTGCTTCCCTCTACAATGTTTTGTAATGGACGTTGGGGGCTTCTGCTTTGTTGGAGCTTTTGAATTATCTTAGAAAAATGTCTGGCTTTTCAAAGAAGTTTTTTGTTGCTGATGTTTGTTAATCCATTATGATCTTGGGATAGCTTCTTTTCTCTCTCCTTCATGTAGAAACGAAGGAAGAAGAGCAAAAGTTATTTTTGACAGGGTTGATCATTTTGATTTTGTCTGTTTTGAGGAAATGGGGCCGAGTTCTGATTTCCCCAACCTCACTGACATAGAATGAGTAACATCTGCATTCAACCCATTTTCCTTCTGCAAGATGCTCAGAGTTGTCAAAGCTGAAGACATTAACCATTTGGTGGAGGTTTAGGTACACTTTGGAGATCAAGAGTGTAAATTGCCACTTTTGAAAGAAATGACAGAAAGTATTGTGGAGCTATTAGCATACAGCACCCAAAAACTGTCATTAGTGTTCAGATCTACTGTTCGTAATTTTGTTGTGGTAATTGCAACTTGAATTGGAATCATCCATATATCTGGTAGCTGCTGATAATCCTATGAAAATACATACTGATAAAATTGTGTTTCATTGTATTGTTTAGGTTTTCCTAGAAGTTTGCAAAGAACAAGAGAGGGAAGATGCTGACATGGTTCTGGATACAAATTTTGAATGGAGACAACTGCAGGAGGCTGCTTGCTAAGCCCAGTCCAAAGACCAGTGTTTACAGATTGGACAGATCAGACTAACCCTAAATACATATTGTATCTTGTTTACTGCTCTGACTATAAGCCTGGGGGGGGGGGAGAGAATGCAGTTCATATATCCATCTGTGCACTAAAAGGTCTGTGTAACACCTGTATTAGTCATGTGTAAAGGTGTAACATTGCTGAAAACCTCAAACTCATAGGAGGCATTGGGTGTTCTTTCTTTCTCTCTCTCTCTCTCATGTCCCCCCCCCCAAAGTATACATGCAGTATTTTCAGATAAACTGTTTACAGTTTAGCACTTATGGCAATGTTACTGGTATATGTTTGAAAAGTGTTAAATGACTTATCTTATCCACATAATGTTTGTGACTATACTAAGATATGGATCATAGAGTACTTAGATACTCCCATATACCTAAGCCTCCCTGCCCTGTGTGCCCCCCCCAAAAAAAACAGTTAATAATCAAGAATTCAATACGTAGACTAATGGAACTATAGTGGATTTTTTTTTCATTCTTAGGTCTATAAAATAGCCGCCTAGCCAGAAACAGAAAACATGATACAGTTGCTTACTAGAACTGATACTAAGATGAGTTTAAACACCTGGTGCAGCTCAAGATATGTTGCTGCCCAAGTCAAGATACAGTATATAGTACCAAATTCCACTGAAGAAACTCTGGTATCTGCAACAGACAATCCTACATGTGTCATTCCTTCTGTCTGGCATTAAAAATAAAACAACAACAATATTGTAATTACTAAAAGGACTGGATTTTTATGACATTCCAAACCAGATGCCTGAGGTGCTCATGGTGGCAAGCAATAATTCTTCTTTCAAATGCCTTAAAGCTCTCTGACAAATACTTCCCACTCCCTTCAAAATATTAAAATCTATGCATAAATCTGGCTACTGGGTTAAATAGCATTGAACTGTTTTGTAGTGTATCATCATCACACAATCTCTGCAACCGTGGGGTGGACATGGGAGATAAATACCCCTGGACTAGCTTAGCCACATGACTCTTTATATCATGTCATCTAAAAATAAATCATATATTTCTTTAAAGTGGTATTATCTTGTGCTTTCTTATTGAAATAGAGTCCCTTTCTAAACTATCACTTGCCTCCCACTGCAAACCTTTGTTTCTATCACTAAGAACTTTAGGGGAAAAAAGGTCTGTCTCATCTCACTTGTGAGGTACCTCTTTTGGCATGCATATCCTCAAACATAGATTTGTTGTTTTCTACGTATCTATGACATGTGGCCTTCATTCATAAATAGATTACTGTACCTCAGTGCGGGCAACGTGTGCTCCTGAATAGTTTTCATGTCTCACCTCTGCTTCTGCCACACCATTGAAATGTAGGTATGTAGTGGTGGTAAGAAGTAGGCTTAGCTTTGCCTCACCATTAAAATGAGTCCCAAAGGGAGCATAAGCCTTATTTGGAAGTGGCAATAGGGTCCCAAACAATGTGCATGCTTCCCCTCACCACATTTTTAAAGTGAAAAGCCACTTTTCTGGCAGAGCAGCAGGAACAGGATGTGTAGCTACCAGTTGGTTTGGGTTATTTTATATAACTCTGATGACACATTATTTGCCTACTGCTGTCCTATGTACTCCTTAGAACGCACTGTGAAGGGGACCTATGGGGTTCTAGTGTTATAGTCATCCAGTGAGCCCTAGCTGGAGTGCCCTTTTAAAAAACCTTTCTTCTCACCAAGGATATCTGCAGTTCTCCCAGGACCCTCAAAGTTCTTCTTGTACCAAACTCATCTGAGGCTGCTGGTCCTTCCTCTGCTTCATCTCCTCAGAGATTCTTCTATGTATACTGAGACTGTGCTCAATTAGTTGACCCCAGAATGATATTTACCTCATTATCATGCTATTCTAAGACAGCATTACTAACCCTGGACTGAAAAAAATGGGGGTGGAGAAACAATGGAGAAACTGGAGAGCACAGTCACCATGCACAAATATTATTTGAAAGGACCATGTGGATCTCTTCTAGGAGATCTAGAAATAAAATTTAGGAAGAACGAGGGGGGCACTAACATATATGGTTTCCTTTCTCTCTCCAAAATGGTATGTTTTATCCATTGCTCAACGATTCTGATATATTTAGCAAAGAACAAGAAATATAGTTGAAGAGGTTGTGAATACCACTCTTGAATGGAAACAACGGCAGAATGCTGCTTTCTGAGCTCTTAACAGCCTTGTCCAAGGACTGGTACTTGCAGATGTGACAGAGTAGACAACATCTGAGTAGACTTCTGTCTAGAAGGGCGGGATATAAATCCAATAATAAATAAAATAAAATCTAGACAATATTACATCTTGTTTCCTCTTTGCACTGCCAGGCCTTTGGAGAAAGTGGAGTGCAGTCGATATATTCCTCTGTTTACCAAGATATCTGTACAACAAATGCAGTGTTAGTATTAGTGTCCAGGTCAAAGTATGACGCTTGAAGAGTGACTTCAGTGCACTATAAAACTTCATAACACTCCCTGACAATTTGAGTTTGTGGTCCATCATGCTTTACTTTTGCCAGCGAGCCTGATGGTGGTTTTAGGGCCAGAGCGCAAACAACCAAACACACATATAACCTGTCTCTATATAAAATTTGACCACAGTTTTATTTCTGTGCTATTCAAGCACAGAAGGCTGTCCCTGGTGAGACTACCCTACATGTAAAATTCAGCTGCCTTAGAATTGAGTGTCTCTCTTTTTGAGTACTGGTAGCTTTTTTTCTCTGACCATAAACTGCCAAAGGCATACCTAGATCTTCCTCTTGAAAGCCTGCAAGCCTCTTTGCATATGCAGAGGACCCTGCTGGACCACATATTAATCAAGATAATGAGTTACATCAGGGCTGCCCAGCCTACCCTTGAACACCCGTTTTAGGAATGTGCTAAATATTTCAAAAACTACACAAGAAACTGCACACCCTGTTGCCATGGCTTTGTTGTGATGCCATGAACAATCAAATTGAAATCCTAGCAGATAGAAATCATTGGAATGTACTGAAAGGAGCTGAATGCAGGCTGTATATCATACTTTGCTATTAAGGCCTGCTTTCCACCAGAACTCACCATCTGTGCTGTGCAATCAAAAAAAGCATAATTGGCTAAACAAAGCTCTGCCAGGATAGCATAATTAACTAATGAACTCTTAGGACTTAACAGATGGCGGATTAACCTAAATTCACATGGTGTTTCCTTCAATATATTGGGAAAAGTCAGGCACTCAAAAAAGCCTTTCTCTCTGCTTACTAATTGCTCTTTTTCAATCCTGGCCTCTACAACATGGTGCAATTCTCCAGAAGATTTCAAATTGTTAGGTTCACTAGGAGGTAGGAATTTTCTTACTGGAATTCTAATACCAAATTTAAATCCTTCTAAAAAGTAATATGTAGCTGCCATATTGTGATACCTAGCAAAGGTAATGCTGTAATGCTGACAACAGAACAAGGCTAACCACCTACCTAAAAAGCTGTGGGACAAAATTTTGAATGGGGTAGGTATGTGAATGTGTTTCAATTGTTGAAGCCAGAGGTGGTGGAAGGGAGGACATTTGGGGAAAAAGGAGGAAGCTGAACACACACTTCACATTTGGTTATCTCGGTATCCTATCTCTAGGGGGTGGTGCAGCCCCTGTATCCAGAAAGCACCCTGTGTGTGCGATCCCTCTTTTCCTGCTTATGTCACATCGCTATCATGGCTGCTTCCATCACTTCTGTTAGTTCTGCTGCCACCATTTCCACAGGTCCAGAAACAAAAGAGACCTCCTGGATATTGGCAACAGTTTTAAAATCCCCTGTGGACCAGACCTTCCAACCTGTCCAGTCCACCTGAGTAGCTGCTCCCACTCATTGGCCATTCCCATTGGCTAATTCAAAAGTCCAGGGCGGGATCATTTCACTGCAACACAGTGAGACCGGTGAGGAAGGAGAGCCAACATGAAGGCCCCCACTCTGCCATCTGGCCCTGTAGCCACAGCTGCCAACAGAACGTTTCCCCCCTGCACCTGCTCTACTTAGGGTGAATGGTACTTATCCATGAAAGAATTAATTTCAGTGTAAGATCAGATAACTTTTTCAGTCATGTCAAAGTTCATCTGGGTATCAAGGTACAAGTATTTTCATTGTTTAAATACTTCATCCTTCTCTAGTGGATAAGAATAAGTGTTTCACTTCACCATAAAGTAAATCTTTCTCTAGATATTCTTGTCATATTCATTTTAGTTTTCCCAGGGGGAAAATTAATTCCAGGCAGCATTCATTTGCCTAATTTTCTGATCTTTCTTCATCTATATTGTTTCTATGTTCCATCTACATAAACGTAATTCGAAATAGTTGAAGACATGTAACCTGGAACTTACAGATACTCGCATTAATCTAAGATTGCAATAATTTCAGTTATACTGAAATCTAATCGTGCAATCATTGATAACAAATTGCAGGTTTAAATAATTTTAACAGAAATCCATTCTGGAAAGAAGTATAAGTTATGTATCACTCATGGTGAATTAGTTTTCTCTTCAGGCATTTTGTTTATTTATTTTATTTTTTTCTGAGCAGAAAATGGAATCAGCTAAGCTCATATTATTTCGTACATGCTTCTATTTAATCCATATTTTCATATTACAGAAAATGATCACTCCAAAGAGTAAAAGCTTGTAATCATGAAAAATACAACCAGAAGATGGAATTTCAGCTACATTCTAAAATGTAGAGTGCAATTCATACACAATTATAACATTTAGAAATTCTAAAACGAAGGTTTCTTAACCAACATGTTTTAGTAGTTATTCATGTTGATTCTTTTCTCCAATTAACCTTGTTTTTAAATTAGCTCTATTTCTAAATATAGTCCTAAAACTTCACAGCTGGAAGGGAACCTATGGATCATCAAGTCCAGCCCCTATTAAGGAGGCACAGTGGGGAACTGAACTCCCAACCTAAACCACTGAGCTATCCAGCAGTCCTTTATGATTGCCTTCAATCAACAGCTGAGATCTACTTGTAATCCAGGCTTCTGTCGGTCAATATCATATAGATGACAAAAAAAGTGCTTTCAAAGTAGTGATTTTAAACAGATCTTGCTATTAATCAAAATATCTTTATTCTGCTGGAAAAGCTCATTATTTTCACCTTGGCTGGTATCTTGCTGTACTAGCAGATACATACAGTAACTATTATTTAGAGATTATCAGAGATTTAGCCTAAGCAAGCAGTCTTATCTTTATCAGCCTGTCATCCCGGCAAAACCAAGAGATTACAAATTATGACTGCCACTCAGGCAAACTGAGTATATACATTAGAGAATATAAATGAAATACAAGAAAATAGATATGGCTCTTACTCCCATTTCCAATAACTGGATCTTTTTACTAACAAAAACATCACCTTGACATTTCCCAAAGTAGCTTGAGTACTAGAAACATGCTTGTTTATGTTTGACATGAGTTCTCAAAAAGGAGCTTACTTCCAATGCTTGTTCTGATTTTTGCTGCTGGTGCTAGTAAGGAACTTACTTCACTTATGTCTTTGAAGACAACAGAACTTTTAAATGAAAATATTCTCACAGCTGTGGTTGAATGTTTTCAACACTTCTGTTCAGAGATTCAAGGTTAAAAAAATGTTCTGCTGCTACTGCCAAAAAGGAAACAACTTGTAATTTAGTCAGAAAACAAATGAAGCAAGCAATTTTGAGTGTTTTACACATGCAGAATCTTATTATTAATGTTCACATCTTAGAAATGCTATCGGGATTGCTATAAATTGGTTCTAACATTATGTGGCATAATATAACATTGAATGCACATGCATATAAACAGTATTCAGTCTATTACCGAACAATAACTTATTAATTTCTTCTCTTTCACTTTGTGAACATTTGCAACAAAATGTAGCATTTAAAATACTGTCATTGGTAAAAATTGAAAAATGTAGATGATTCAGTGTATTCACATACTTTCAAATACATATCACTTAAAGAGATGGATCAGCTGTATATTTCAAGATACCATACCACACACTACATTTTCTGAGCAGTTTACAGCATAATTATGAGGAACACTCCTCTCCCCACCCCCAGCAATCTGGTTACTCATTTTACCAATCTTGGAAGGATGGAAGCCTGAGTCAACCCTGAACTGGCTACTTGAATCTGTAAGGATCAAACTCAGGTAATGAGGAGAGGCTTGACTGCAGTACTGCAGTTTAAGCATTGCTCAGTGGTGCGCTTCCTCATTTTTTCCCCATGTTCACAAAAATCAAAGAGTCAATTAAATACACCATTGACAATTGATGAGGGAGGATTTTTTATTGTCTTGCCTTCTTATAATCTCCTGACCATACAGTTAAAAATGGCTAGCAATTACAGACGTTCAGAGATCTTCACCATTTCTCTACTATATATATAGTAGAGTATATATATAATGCTACCCAGGATCATGACATGTTGCTGCCTGATACAGAACAGTAAATAGCACCATCTTTCCATCTGCAGTTCAAGGTGGGTTGCATCCAAGGCCATTCAAGATATATATTTTCAACCCCAAAACAGGCAACCCCACAAACACCATTCCTATCTCGATGGTAAAAACACCACAAGAATAGCAACAATAGACAGCAAGTTATACAACTCCCGAGTACTGCCCTTTCCTGACACCCTACGCATTCTACTAGTGATGGTTCCTCTTTCAATGCCTGTATGTCAATTGTAAATAATATAGCCTCGAAACACAACTAGTGTGTGTTGCCTTTTTTAAACAGAACAAGTTTCTAAACTATTGGTTGCTTCCAATTTTGAACATTACTTTTTATCACCTCCTGCTTCAAGATCATACTACAGTAGTTGGACTAGTTCCTAATGTGCTTGTCTCATTTGTCTTAATTCAGACTAGATGAAAGTTGTGCTGATTTTAAATTCACATGACCCAGAAACAGACTGACAGGCTGTTGTACAAAATGTAGTTTTTAAAAAAGATACCAAGCCAAACTTTTGCTGTCCTCTTGGATTCTGAACTAATTTGTGATAATTAGGCGGCAGAAGTGGTCAAAATTATGTTTACTACTTTGGAACAGTTTGCCACCATTGTTCAACGCTGCGGGGGCAGGGGGATAATCTATCCAGAGTAATTCATTCCTTAACAACTTCCAAACAATACCAGTATAAAGGGCTTTGTGGCTTTTGAAAAGCAGGAAGTTGGTAAAAAAAATGTGTCCATCACGTCATGAGGTTAAGTTGGTCACTTAAAGCAAATTAAATATACGTTATTATTGCCTCATAAAACAAAATCATTTATTTTGATCATTATTTTATTTTGATCATTATTTTACTGTGTTGCCTAGGTCTAGTTTAGCCAGATCGGTATCTTTCTTCATAAACAGATCTGACTTTTTAAAAAAATATCAAAAAATGGCATAGGGCAAGAAAAGAAAAGCTAACTTTCCACTTAGTTAGAACTAGCTGGCCAGGCACACATGGACATGTATTCTGTAACAGGTAGCCAGGCTAAAGATATTCTAATAAAATGAAAAGAAAACAGACAACATTCCCATACACTCTGGAATTTTAAAGGAGATTCCCAATATGCCAATGTTCAAATATGAGGAATAGTTTCATCTAACATTTCTTCCAGCAGGGTTGAACATATCAAAAAGAGCTTTTCCGTCTTTGTTCCAGGCACACCAAATTCTTCCATATGATCAACATTCTCTTTATTTTTCAGTCCCACTGGGTGGGGCTCCGCTCTCTCTGTGTGCAGTTTCACCCCTGCACACAGCTCTGCACTCACGGCCAGAACCAAAAGGGCAGAAACACTAGCTATGGGTGCTCATGCCTGACACAGAATTTACCCACTCCTGCTGCAATGCTGCATAGCTGTGCAGCTTAGAGGGAATGTTGCATATGACAGTTACATTTGTTTACAGAGATTCTTAATGTCAGAGAATGCCAAGCAGCATATGCCATTAGCATCTGGAAATGAGCAATAAATAATGTTTCCAGAATACTATATGATAAAACAAATGCAACTCTGCTGTAGTCCGACATTCAGTTGCCATGCAGTAAGGCCCGGCTAATGGTTAGAACAGATTTAATTTCACAAATGCAAATATAATGGATTGTTTTTACTTGGGTTGGGTTTCTAACAGGAATGTGATAAATGTGAGCTCTACTTTCTTTTTACATTCTAATACTAAATTGATTACATAAAAATATGACAATACATATATAAAATTCCTTATAAGCTAGTGGAATGCTGACTTGAAATATTATATGTCATGTAACATATGTTCATCTATATATCCCAACAGGCAAAGGGGAACACATGACAAGCACTTTAACATGGACCCCTACCCAAACAGTGCATGCTTCATGAAAAAAAGAAAGTTCCAAACTGAATGTAAAGAGCATTATCAAGAAACCTCCTACTTAACTTTCATTAATTTTAAGTCAATTTTTAAAAAAACAAAGCACACACATTTAAGCCTAGGTATTTCAGTTATCTGCTTATTACAAGTTGATATACTAGGGCCTAGCTTTGTTATTATACTGCATCGACCAGTCACTCTTGATTCATGGTGACCCTCCTATAGTTTTCGAGGTATGTAAGATGTTCAAGGAGTGATTTATCACTCAGTCCCTGATCGCAAGAGCTTCCATGGCCAAGTGGGGATTTGAACAAGATCTCCAGAGTCGTAATCTGACACCCTTTCCACACTGGTGGAATATACAGTACAAATATTTATAGAAGAAAACGGTCACAAAACTTAAATGGAACTGCTGATGTTGCATAAAAGTTATTTAACAAAACATTCTCCGCAAAAATGAATAAACCAAAAATGCTGCTTTACTTTAGTCTGCTAATGCCACAAAATGTTCTTCCTTAAATTGTGATTCTTAGAATTCTTAAAATAAAACTTCATAGAATAGAACAGGTACCAGAAAAACAGTTACTGTATTGCCATTTTAAAATACTGGGTCGGATCCAGATCCACCAATCTGGAAATACAAGGGCTTCTTCTGTTAGAGGATGCAAGATGAAACCAGTGAAGGCTCTTCTTCCATTAGCAGGGAAACTCTCCATGGGTAGGAGAGAAAGAGAGCTTTGTTGCTTTCTCTACAATTCCCCATGCTGCCAAATATGTTGTTCTAGAGAATATTGTCCTCCAGAACAGATTGGCAGGGACAATGGGGTAGGGGGCATGATTGACCAAAATCACCTCTTTCTTTTCTATTCATGGGATCACCTACTTATGTTGTGCACTGATACTGTGCATGTCATATGCTAGATGCCTCATAAAATTCAGTATGAATGCTTATGGAAGAGGAAAGCATAAATTGTTCCTAAGCTTCAGAGTACCCTCTTTCAACCGTCATTACAAAGCAAACCAGAAAGAGAAATATATTAGATTTTTCATAAAAAGAGAAAGTCATAGATCAGGAATATTCAAAATAAAGGCATTTAAAGATATTTATAGTATCAATAAGGCAAAGAAGGTGAAAATTCTTAATTGCTGAGGAATATGCTGAAAATTGATAGTGCTTGTGGCACATGCTAAAACAACAACAGCAGCCTCTTAGAAATCCCTGAGCATGAATGCCCTTCAGTTCTATACAGGGTGAAGCAGACTAGAAAACAACACGCTCGCCCTGGGATCTTTCCCAACTAATGGTCCCATTGAGTGTTCCAAAATTGCTGTCATCCTCCTCTTGCTCCTTGACAAGTTCCATAAATACCTAGAATGAAGAAGAACACTGTTAATGAATTTATTATAACCACAGTTCAATATTAGAGGGCTTACGGTTCATATGCACAAGGACTTCTCTTCAATTTGAATCTGATAAGCTTTTGTTCCTTGGTGTATATATGTCCCTTCTCCTGGGGTAAAGGCTAATGTTAAGGAATTTTCAAGAAAGGTAGCATGTCAAATTCTTGGCCTGCACATGAGATCCTCAGTGCCTGTTTGTCATCATATTGGGTGATACAAATGCCAACACTGGCTCAAATGATGCTATCTTGGAAGTGAAATTCCCAGTGTTACCTGAACTTACAGAGGATAGGTTTTGACATAACGGAAACTCAAGGGACCAACATTCAAATTTCTCAGGTTTTACCTGTTTACAGCATTATTCAGCTTCGCTGACACTAAATGGACTGATCCCTGGTGATTTAAGCAATGAATTTATGTTCTCTAATGTTAGTGGCTCCACTGTGATCAATTATGCCTGGTAGTTCTACCAGTTCCTCAAATTGCAGAGGCCAATTGCTGCTAACTACAGCTAGGTAAATAGCTCAGTGGCTTAGATATCTGGCCACAGAGCAGAGGTTGGGAGTTTGATTCCTCGCTGTGCCTCCTGTGAGTAGAGCCAGCCTGTGTGGCCTTGGGCAGGCTGCACAGTCCCAAGGTGCTCCTAGAAGAAGGGAATGGTAAACCACTTCTGAGTATTCTCTCCCTGGAAAACTGGGGGAAAAAAGATTTTATGGTACATGATTATTATAAGGAGAAAATGCATGTATTCCTCATTGCGTGCCAATTACATGACTTGGCATTCAACAAGGAACACAAGCATCCGCTCTTTAATTAGTGGCAACCAAATGCTGCGTATTATGTTGTTGCATATATAAGTAATATGATTCTGGGCAGTAGATGTTCAGCCCTAATTCTGAAAGATCAAAGCTTTCAAAATTCAGTGGAATTAATGAGGCACCAGGAAGAAGAAATGCTATATGCTCTCTGCACTTAAGTAGCCTAGTTAAAACTAATCTGAATTTGGCATTAGCAGTTTAGCAAAGGTCTACTATCCTTTTTTGCTCTTATCCTTTCATTTAACAGTGAAGTAGACAAAGAGCTAATAAGCTCTCTTCAGTATGGTGTAGCTCTAAATTCTACATCCAGAACAACAGTGGGCTAGCAACCCCCTGTGGTTTGATAAGGAGTGCTCAAAGCAGAAAAGGAGACTCTTATTTTAATTACAGAATGTAAGACCTAAACAAACTTCCTGTTAGCTATTTTCAGTTTTTTAAAAAAGATAAGACTCTGTTGCATTAGAAGGATCAACATGAAACTGAGATGTGGTTGCTTCTCCAGAATGCTGCCATTAGCAGTATTCTCAAGCCTGGTGTCAGATGCCCAATCTAAAGATGCAAACGTCATGTCATGTTTGGGAGAACCATTTCACATACATCTTCTTAGAACCTAACAAATGCAAGTTGAACATTGATGACTTTTATATTTTAGGCTGTAACCAAATGGGGTCCAGTCACCATAAAGGACTTACTTCCCTTTAATTAATCAGCTAACGTCACGGAAGGCAATTGAGGTGATCTTACTAATTTTAAGCAATATTGGAAGCAATCAATACTGGTGAGTCACACTACTTTATGCCGATAATAAACAAGCTGTTATTTTAGCTTCAAAACTGACTTTAGGAAATCAAAGACCAAGTAGTTTGCTTTACCTCATGGGGAAGTTGCATGTTAGACACCTAAGTGCCAAACTGTGTTACCTTATGGAGTCAAGAGTATTTACTCTCTGACTCTCAAATCGCATTTAGAGAAAACCACTTAATCCTAAATCATTATGTGGTGCTTGATTGTATGGCCAAGAAATACTCAGGGCTTCTCGTGAGGAAACGGCATGCCCCTTTCATGGATCTGATTGTATTTCTATGGCTACAGGGATAAGGCAGAGTTGTCTCCTTGTTCTGACTTCCCATTTAATCTCTATTTGAATGAGATCATGAATTTTCTATTAGACACACTCCCAACTCCAAAATATTGAAAATATGCTGCATTTCATGTAGTCATTACAATTCAGATAGGGGCTTAAATGGTTATTTAATCACCAAAATCCTCTTTACATACTTTAGTGACACAAACTGATTGACATCATCGTTTATCATTGGGAAGATTTAATTAAAACTAAGAACAAGCTGCCTATTTCTTTCCCCTTCCAGGTTTCAAGGTTCCCTAGGGCTTTTCTTTTGCCCCAGGGAAGCCCTAGGATGGGGAATGGAGCCTGCAATAGTACAAATTCACCACCAGATCATTGCTCCTGACAGCAAGCTGTGATTATGGAAGGCTTCCCACCCCATGTTAGCCCCAGAGAACCTTGGAAGCTGAAGGAGCGGGAGGCACGAACATTTTAATTTAATAAAATGTTATCAGCATCAGAGGATGGCATCGCCTGGTTTGTACCATGTAACTATGTGAACAGGATCTGGGCCAATAAGTTTTCTTTCTCTTGCAGAGTTAATGACTTAAAGATAAACTATGGGAAACTTAAGATTTTGATGTCTGAGGGAAGAAAATGTAAAAAATAAAATAAAATTGCAGCTCCCTAGATGTGTTCCCAATTCTGCTATCCTGTTGGAAAGTGGAGAGTGTCTCTTAGTGGCAAGGGCCTGGTTGGCAATTTTAAGTTTTGGCTAAGGAATTACATCTTTCTGTTGGTTCCCAACTTGCTCCTGTATGTTTCACATGACAGCTACAACACCTCTTGGGCAAAATATAGGTCTGTAACCACTTCTTCTACTAGAAGGTTTTCATCTTTTTTTTATGTGTGACAGGATGACTCTGCTACCACTGCAATACAATAAGCCAGAGTTGTTGTTTTTTAAAAATTATCTCATTTTGATAATCTTTTTCCTTCTCTGCAACCTCTTTCTCCCCCCCCCCCCCCGGCAACCTCTTTTTGCTAAGATCGCTACTTGAGCATTCTGTATCAAGCTAAATTTTGCACAGCCTTCACCTTAGCATATTTTTAGTACTGTATCTGGCCTTCCCCACTTGTTAAGTGGGCATCCTGTTGGCACCCCTCTTTCTGAAAGGCTTTGCATATGTAATCACTGGGAGCTTGGACCAGCGCAATAGGTTCTTTTGTGACTCAGACTACCCATCAGAGCTCACCAGTCAATGACTGCTCCACTACTAACCATACTACGTACCTCATCTATCCAATTCTATTCTAAATTCCTGTATTCAGAATTCTAGTTGTGTCTCTCATCTTAGTTATAACTCTATCAGTTGCAATGGAAGTAGGAAACAAATGTTTAGTGCTGAAGGGCTAGGTTCCAGGGGACTGTGCTACCATTAATGTTTCGTGTCTGATTCTTGCTGCTATGTTAGTTTGCTGGTGCTTTTTCTAGGGCTGTTGACTAGTAATACTAAAACCTCTCTGTAAAACACAATCCATTGGATTTTTGTTCAACCAAGAGCAAAATGGCAGCCCACATTAGTAACAGGGTTCCAAAACCTGACAGTAAAATTTGGTTCAACACTGTTAAATTCCAAATTTCTTCACCCTTAGGACATGGTGAACAGAAAAAAATGAGTTCAAAATACACCACTCATAATATGAGAAATATAGATAATTTATCATTGCAAATTACTGTTTTATGTAACCTAAAGGTAAGGTAGGTTTAAAACCTGTGGAAAAATGTTTTGGGGTACATGTTATGTTTTTAAACAATAATGTCTACTTACCTGTTCCAGTGTTGCCTGGGAGAAGTTGTATTCTTCAATATTAAAGGCATGTTTTGCTGTTAGGAATGTTAGAACAAACCCTTTAGTCCTCAATAACAGGCATCAAAATGGCTGAAATTAACATGACACATTGGCCAGATTCCCATTAATTATGCTGCTGGCACAGCAACACAGTTAATGTGAATCTTGGTGGCAAATTGCTACAGGTCAAAACAGTTTGTCTAGGCTGTTGTGTGTCAAGTCACCAAGAAAGTTTAGCCATCATTTATGTCAGCATAAAAACTTAACAGGATTTCAGCAGTTACCTCTTAACATCTCTATATAACAAATCAGTCCCACCAAAGCTTCACAGGCATTGTAATGACACACTTCAGCTTTCTCATTCACAGGTATATCAGAAGTGTGTGAACCCAGTTGTCTGGGAAAGCCACTATATGTGTAGCAGCACAGTGGGCACCCCATGTTTACCACTGTGTGCCTCTGGAATATTTTAATACTTTTCCCTTGATCCAGTTAAACAAAGTTTATGACTGTGAGGGAACGGCAAATTAATTACTCCTGTACCTCTTTAAGCATTCCAAGGATTGATAGACTTCACTGTGCCTCTTAAAAGCAAGTTAGGAGGAATGCATGCCAATGAAGCAACGATTATTCAAATGAAACATTATTTATTAGGATAACACAAGAAAAAAACATGTGAAAAATCAAACGGTTGAATAAAACCTTGTATATAAATAGAATTCAAATAATTTGGGGTGACTGTGGCTAAAATCCAGTTGCTTAGCATAGTGAAGTGCAGCTAGAGTAGGCCCATTGAATCAATGGAACTTATTAAGGGAGTTGGCTCATCAAATCCCTCCACATTTGATGGGCCCACTCTAGTTGTAACAGGATTTTAGCAAGAGTTGGAGGTGAGAATCAACACAATGAATTTGGATTATTATTTGAGTCTAAATTCTCTATCCCACCCTTCTGGCAGAGTAATCAGCAATCAGTTGATTTAGTAGGCTGTTACCTCACCTTCCTCCAGTCTAGAAAAAGATAGTGCGAGTGACTGGACATCTTCCTTTGGAATTCTATATGCCAGAATCGAGGCGAAACTATAATATGCAGAAAATAAACAGGGAGACACCAGATGCTTTGACAAGAGTTATCACAAATACCTTGGGTAGCATGACAGATCTTTGATTTAACCCCCAACCCACACCAGTAGACACCAATGTTTGCCTGTTGCCTCTGAGGTTCTGTGCAGTATCGCTTCAACACTTCAAAGATGAAAACCAAGCACTAGTGTATTTAATATTAATGAATTGGCTATTGCTAAGACATTTGTGTGACCAACACTTGAGACGTTTGTTACAGCACTATGTACCGTAATACAGTTGTCATTTTCAGTATCTGCTTCATTGATCCCACTTCTCAGAGCCATCTACCCTATACATACAGATCTGTGGCCTGATAATCACCCATCTTTGAAGAAACCAATCGCAATCCACAAAAAGGTCAGGATAAAATAAATATGTTGGTCTTTTATATTTTTTGAAAATGTTTCAGTCGAAGAAACAGAATATCAATGCATGTGTCCAATGGTTTCCTGATCTCCCTAGATACCTATTCCCTGCACTAAGCCAGATCCATTGCTCATGCCTACATTTTTTGATTGTGAGAAGTGTCCCTCTAGTAGAGAGTATTACTCAAAAGCCCAAAGTACATGAAATGGTACAGAAAATTTGTACTTTAAAGGAGATGACTTTAAAAAATTGTAAGATCTCTTTTTTTGATGCCCAAATGTTCTACCTTTTCTGACAACTTGCATTTGGAAAGATGCGCAAAATCTTCCTTTGCAGGCGCTCTTTCTGCAGTATATCCGGCACTTCTTTTAATTTCATTTCTAAGAAATATCCTCTGCCGAACTTAGTCTTGAGATGTTGAACTGTTCCAATAGACCTATCCAGTATGTAGGGGAAGGTGGAAGAGAAAAACAGGAAATAAACAGTGAATTCAACCCCAACTTCCCTGTGTTCTTTTAAATGACAAACCCAAGCTTTACCCAAGATGCCCTAACTGGCATTGAAGGTACCTTAACTTTCCAGACACCAAGATCGCCACCCGATCACACACAGCTTCTGCTTCTGCCATATAATGAGTTGTCAGAATAGCTGCTCGCTGATTACTTTTAAAGGCTGCTCGAATTGCTTTCCTGTAAGAAAATGTGACAAATATTTTGTTTAGAAGAGGGTGATGGATACACACTGCTGGTAATGCCATTGCTAGCTGAAAAAAATCACTTCTTCACAATACTGGCTTGAAGCAAGTGGCTGTGAAGAAATGACAAAGATTGGAAAAGGCAGACCTCATTTGCTGCCCCTTTTCGTTTTACGAATGCAAACTATAAACAGCATATTCATGAGGACAACAATTTAGCTCTACTTAAAATGAGAACTATAAATAAAATATTAGTTGGAAAGCAGAACACCCTGGGGTTTAGAATGTATACCATAGGACACCATGCAACTAGAGTAGGCTAGGCTAGACTAGACTAGACCAGACCAGAACAATTTATCTCACTACATGGGAAGATATTTCTAGGTTATTTACAGCAGAGAACTCATCAATACAGTAATTTCTACTCTGCTCAGGCAAAATCCTGTTGTTTGGTGTAGTACATTGCACTAGAGTAGGCCCATCGAATCAATGCAGATTTAGTGAGTCAACTCCTCTATCAATGGGCGAACTCTACTCTACATTGACTCATCCTCTATCAATGGGCGGGTCAATGGGTGAACTCTACTCTCTCTCTCTCTCTCTCTCTCTGTGTGTGTGTGTGTGTGTGTGTGTGTGTGTTTTGCTATGCTAAGGAACAGGATTTTGGCTTATGTTTTACTTCTTTGGCTACTCCATTCCATTTTCCTTCTAATATGATTTTATCATCTCCTGCTGCACCTCCATTCTATTTCCCTTCCCTACTTTTCAGTCACAGAATACTCCATGTCACTGAGATTTATGGGGATGTTTGCCCCTCACATTTATTGTCCTAAATGTTTTTAAATCTCTTAATTTTTTTAAAAAAGGTCTTCACACTTACCCTAAGCCTGCTGATGCCTCTCAACATCTCTCTCTCTCTCCCAATTTTGTATGTATGGGAGTTGCTATCTGGGAATACTGTATATGTATATTCATGGAAAGACATGAATTAGAAATGGTATAATGAGCTAAATGAACCACTGATCCTGAGTTACAAAATAAGCAATGCAAATATTAATATTATATATTTTCCCTAGCTGCTAGCTTCTTGCCATTCAAAGGTGCTTACCACATCTGTTGTATAGCTATAGGATCCATACCAGCAGATGGTTCATCTAGCAGAGTGACATGTGGGTTTCCAAGCATACTTAGAGCAAAACATAACTAGAGGAGAGAGAAAAGTAAGGTGAACATGGTCACTGCTTACTTCACACAATGCACACTATCGGTTCAACATTAAAATGATGCAAAATACCTTTCGTTTGATTCCCACTCCAAGTTTCTTGACAGTTTTCTGTAGATCTTCCTTAAGGTCAAGTGCAATTGAAATGCTACAGGAAAACAGAATACAATACTTTGGTAGCTTTGAAAGGACTATTACTGCAGTGTTAAATGTATTAAATATGTTGAATGTTACGTGCATTCTAATGGACCCAGTATGAATGAATCCTAAAACTACAATATATAATAAGCTCATTATAAAATCATGAGATCTATTTATAAACGAGACTTCTAGGTGTTCAGGAGTAAGTGTAGCAAGGTGGCTTTCGTACTTATTGGCCAGAATTCAACTGGTTTTTCTGTAAAGTTTGTGTAACTTGCCGTGACTAAATGCAGTTAATTGAGAAGCTGCTGGGTCACATCATGGTTGCACAGGAAGGCACGTGTGACCAAAATTATGCCCTGGCATCTGTAAGTCTATATCAACCTCATGAGTTGCCCTGGGTTTATCTGTTCCATGAGAAAAAAAATACTTCAACAGTAATCATATCAATCAGAAAAATGAAAGGGAATATTTTTATCACTAGCCAAAGAACACATTCCAGAAACAGAATAACTGTTATCTGAGTACAAATTACCTTGCAAACTAGCATACACAAATTAGATAAGTAAACACTTGCCCCCTTCCCTCCCACAAAAGGGAAAAATCCCAAGTGTTGTGTATATCCCACAGCAAAATTAAAATGGTGCATCATTCCCCCCACATGTATCACTGTTTCATGGCATTTTTTAAATGATGAAGGCATAAACCATTTTCAAGATGTTCACCAGAAAGTAGAAAGATATTTCTTTTTATCACTCACAAAAATAAAAGCGTTTGAATTGGGATATTTACCATTTTATGATTTCCATAATGTCACTGGAACTCATTCCTTTGACAGCACCATAAATTTCAAAATGCTCCTGCATTGTAATATGGGGCCAAAGTGGGTTTGTCTGTGGACAGTAGCCCATAAATCTCATGGAATTATTCTCATTATTCTCTCCTAAAAGATTATCTTCCATCAGCACCTGTAAATGCATCAATTCTTAATAGTTTTACATGATGCTTGCAGTGAACATGCAAACACTTAAAGGTGATTATGTGAAAAGCTGAATTAAAACGAAAGCAAAAAGCATTAGCTCCAAAACATAATATAATAATCACCATTTTACAGCGTGGAATTCATTTAATACATATTCATGGAACCTACTGTAAGCCAGTTGTGTGATTTTCTGTGATGTCTAGGAGAGTGTGCAAAGAGGTCATTTTATTTTAAAAAGCACAACAGAGTAAATTGCTCACATATTACTTTATCATTACTTTATATAGCCATGATCTCCGCAGAACTATGCAAACTAGAAAGATATATACCTCCAATTTTCTTCTTTTGCCACAAACAGATTTTTTTTTTAAAAAAAGCAATCCTAGTGTGACATTTCATTTCATCAACATAGAAAGAGCTATAGAACCTAGTCTGGGTAAGAACTCATATAATGGGGTAACAACAAGAAAACATGAAATTAAGAAGGAGTGGAGAGGTTAAGACACAGATGAATACCTGGCCTGAAGTTGGTTCAACCTCTCCCACCAAAATATTAATTAGTGTGCTCTTCCCAGCTCCATTTGGGCCTAAGATTCCCAGTATTTCACCTAAAAGAAAGAAAACGTTTATTTAGATGATTAATTTCCACCCTGAAATTATACTGATTCAACAGAGTAGACAGCATACATGAGATCTATTGCTGCGAGAAGTCATAAAGAGATTTAGAGTTTGTTGCCATCAATATCCTTCTCTTCATCTGCAGGCGATGCTGTGTGGGTTCCATGAGGGCTGCCTGGAGTTGATAATGGACGGAATGATGGCCAATAAACTGAAACTGAATTTAGATACGATGGAGATCCCACATTGGGAGAATCATCAGACAGGTTAGTAGAGGGATATTTACCTGGCCTTGATGAGGTTACACTCCCCCTCAAAGATTCACAGCTTAGAGCCACTTTCTCTGTAGAGATGCAAATATCTGCTGTGGCCAAGAGCATCTTTTATCAGCTTTGGCTGATTACCTAGCTGCACCCCTATTTGAAGAAGAACTGCCTAACAACAGTGGTTGATTTGTTGGTAATATCTAGAATAGACTATTTTAATGCTGGTCATGTGCTGGTCATAACCTAACTGTAACAGTTTAGGGCCTCTGTATTTGGTGTAATGTCTCTCCCACAAAATAGCTACCCCTTCCACATACTCCTCACAGTCCTTGGTGTTAAAAATCGTAACACCAAAGGACCTCAAAAGAGCCAGTGCTGGAAACTGAGCTTTGAATATTGAAATACTCTGTTTTTTAATTTGTATATTTCTATTTAAGGTAGAGTAAAGGTTCCCCTTGACAATTTGTCCAGTTATGTCCGACTGTAGGGGGTGGTGCTCATCTCCGTTTCCAACCCATAGAGCTAGTGTTTGTCCAAAGACAATCTTCCGTGGTCACCAGTGCAACTAGACATAGAATGCCGTTACCTTCCCACTGTGGTGGTACCTATTTATCTACTTGCATTTGCATGCTTTTGAACTGCTAGGTTGGCGGGAGCTGGGACAAGTGACGGGGGCTCACTCCGTCGCATGGATTCGATCTTACCAGAGGCTGAAAGAAATAAATATTTCTATTTAAATGTAGCTAAATTGCTTAGCTAGTGAGATAATTTACTGTAGTTTATCATTTTTATTAAATGATTTTATTGTACATTGTGAGCACCCAAAGAGTGTTAACACTAATGGGGCAGAATAGAAGTGGAAATAACAGCAACAAAAAACAACAACTCTAACCTTTTTTCACACAAATCGAGACATCGTTAGTTGCCACTTTCTTTATTTTTCTTCCAAGAAGAGAATCTGTTTTTTCATCATACATTTTGTGCAATTTGCTGATTAAAATTGCTGGTTTCTAGGGAAACAAAAGATGATGTACAAATTAGCAAAGAGTTAGTCTAGATATGCAATGTACAAAATTTCTCTATTAGTGTCAGAGATATGGAGAACTTCATCTTTTCAATTTAGAGGATCACATAGAGATACCTTCAGACAGACTTTTCCTTAAGGACTGACAGTCTGAGAGGCGTTTTTCAAAATGGGTTGTGGTGCTTTATTACTTTAAAAAAAAACTTTGTATTGATTTTATTTACCTTTTTAATATGATACTTGTTTAATTCTTTTTAAATATTTGTCTATTTACTGTTCTTAGCTTTTTTTTATCTTGTCCTTTTAATATTGAAAGCTACCTTGGGTGCTTTTAAGGAGAAAGATGGGGAAAAATATTGTAAAAAACAAAAAAAACCAAATATCTCGTTGTGAATGAACTCACGCAAAGATAATACAGCCCTCCTTTTGTTAGAGAGCTTTCAGGCACTTCTGAAGCTGTGAGGCTGCAGAAACTGTAACTATGGAAATGCTGCCAAAAGTGTTTCCTTGAAAGAAAGGAAAAGTTCAGATTTTGTATTTTGAGGATTCACTAATATTGGTTTATGCACAGCACAAACTATTATATACAGGAGAAAAAAATAATAATATGGCCAGCTAACATGTATGTCTCAACCCATGGAGGCCAGGCATATGACTTTTAGGATGGTGACCTTGTGATTGTAGCACAGGTTGCCTTCCCTAATCCCCAGCGAAAGAACCAGCTCCAGCTGATCTCTGCGTAATGACACCAGTGTAGATGTGGCTACACAAATCATACTTTGCTCATGTCCCTTTACATTAGAATCTAGAGCCAGTACATGCAAAAGGGCAAGATGTACCTCCTCACCACTCTGGCAACTAGTCATCTCTTTAACTCTTAACCTCTCAGCCATAACATCTTCATCCTCATCCTCGTCCTCATCCTGTGGCCCATCTGTAAATTTCCAGCACTTGACCTTCGTGGCAGTTCTGGAGATAGTGAAATATAGTCAGTTTTCTGATCATGGGAACCTTTGAACAGATATGACAAAGACAAACAATCCTCTCTGTTTGATAGCAGAAGTTTGATAGCCCTGAAGCAGTAAGATGGACAAACTCTATTCTTGAAATCTTACCAACAATTCACTGCATCCTTAGGGCAAAACGGGTTATCAAAATGATCTAATTCATGTGAAGGACTCTGCCACCCGTAAACACTGTCAGACTTAACTAGAGAGAGGTACCAAGTTCTGGAATGCTGAGACTCATCTACTGCTGCTTGAAAAAGAGGGTGAGATGCTTTTACTCAATTCTTTCCCTGCTGGTTCTCCTGAGTAGGAACTCCACAGGCAAACACTAGAGAAATTAGCTTCTTGGTCCACCATGTTTTGCATCAATGTCTAGAGCAATCCAGATTAAAGGGGATGCATCTGAGTACCAACTATCATAACATAGCTGAATAATATCCATCCATTCATCCCCAATTCCATTTTCACAGCAGAAGTGGGGAAAAGAACTGATGTGTTTTTAGGGTTCACTACATATATGCCAATGAAAGAGATGGTCAACAAAGGAACAAAATGGGGGTGGGGATCCCAGAAAACACAGACGGTTTGGAAGTGCAGGGCCAGATCTATGGGACAAACTACTACTCAAATATCTCTGCCCCCCAGGTATTAATTAATATCGAAGCCAGACTCCAGAGACCATGAGTTCAAAACAATCTCTCTCTCTCTCTCTCTCTATCTCTCTCTCTCTCTCTCTGTGTGTGTGTGTGTGTGTGTGTGTGTGTGTGTGTGTGTGTGTGTGTGTGTGAGAGAGAGAGAGAGAGAGAGAGAGAGAGAGAGAGAGAGAGAGAGAGAGGAGGCAATCACTGAGTAACTGGCAGCTTTTTGGTCCTTAGGGAAGGGTGTAAAAATTCCAAAACAAAGGCAATCATTGAGTAACTGGCAGCTTTTTGGTCCTGACGGAAGGGTGTAAAAATTCCAAAACATGCTGCAAAAAGGCTTGTGACTGCACCCCACAGAGGATTGACATAAACTCTTACAGACATGTACACCCAAAGTTTTGGGCAGTAGTGCACAATTTTTCTGTGTTATCCATGAAATGGCTGTGCTAAGCTTGAAGAAGTGGGATTTTCTCCACGAAAGCTTGCAATTTGTTTGATTTTTAGTGATAGCAACAAATCCTACACATCTGTGTTTAAAGTTTGCATAGAATTGCTCACATTATGTTTATGTAGACAATTCTGAAGACCTGTATTGTGGGTGGACATGAGTGGGGTGCTCTGGTGATTGGTGGTTAAGTAGCTAAATTTTGATTGGTGAGCATGATTGTAATCTGAGTGGTCTGGGGCTCTGTGAGAGTTGAGTTGTGGTATGACTGTTCAATAAGATACATCAGAAAGTTAGAGTAGAGAGCTGAAAGGAGTTAAAATCTGAGAGTGGTAATCTGTGGTGCAGGTAATGAAGATAAGTCTGTTTATGTAGTTAAAGTGTGTGTGAGAGAGAGACAGAATCTGTAACATAATTGTTTTGAACTTTAAATACTGAACAAATATATTTAGATCTTACTGGTATGTTAACATTTATTGTTCACATCCAAGAACCTACTTTTCCCTTTATACCTATTATCTGTAATTCCTAAATAAAACAGCTTCATTGTTACTTTAAACCAATCTCTCCTTCTTATTTGTTTTATGTGGAACTAAGAATAAGGAACCCAGACTATGAACTGAAAGTTCACCCATATCATATAAATCTAAGCCTTACCATTAGGAACTCAAGAACTTTATTGAGATTAAGAAACTCTTTCACAGAACTCCCTAATTATCTAAGATACCAGCTTTTGGGTGAAGGAAGCTCTGAATGGCAGAATAAACGGAACAATTGAAACTGCTTGAATGAGAGTTTAGGGTGGTTTTTCTTGCAGTTTAGTTTGAGTTTCTTATTCCCTAGTAACACTCAGGAGCGGTGGCAAGGATTTTAGGTGTAAAAAGGTGCCGAAGTGGTGCCTACGACCGCTTGAAGAGTGTGCGACCTAGCTAGTGTAAAAACTAGTGGAAACATCAGATCCTCCTCAGGTCAAAATGTCGTGATTAGTCTGAAGAAAAGTTGCATCCTTTCTTCACAGGCAAAATGCCTTTTTCTATAAACACTCTTGAAGATCCACTTGCCGTCATACAATGCATGTCTCCTTGCCAACGTTCCCTCTAAGTTTCTATCCTGCTGTGTGGGAGCTTCTTACACCCTAATAACACCCCCTCCATGTGCACGGGGTAGGTGGGCAGGGTTTCATTCAAAATTGGAAGTAAAAAAAACTGGCTGCTGGCTGCCCATAGCAAGAGTGAGAGCACGCAGCTCCGAGGCAACATTGCTCCCTGCAGTTTTCTGCTGACCAGCTCTGCGAGCGTAGTCCTTTTAAATGAAGGGTTTGAAAGGAAAATGTAGAGACACTGACCTGAAAAATGGGTCTTTTCTCATCAGTTTGCCTCCACATTTCACTTCAAGATAGCGCAGAAGGAAAAGCCAAATCACACATTGCAAATAAGGCTAAAACGGGAAGAAATATAGATTAGTAATGTTGCTCCTTTGTTTATTGCATAATTGCATAAAACCTGGAAACAGATACTGTACTTAGATATATTCTAGCTGCCATACTAGTAAGTTTAGAAGCCACAGCATTGGGACTATGGAGCAGTTATGATGCTACAGCATTTCCAGGCAGAGATATTAAAGCAAATCTTTATGCAGGGTCTGCAGAGATATGTTTTTTTAACCTTTCAACAGTAGTCCAGTAGTTGAATGCCAGGAAGTGCTGCTATTCTCTCAGATTGTCCTGTTCTTCCCAATAGACAGCAAGATAGCTGTACAGTATTAATCTGGTGATGGGCCTTTTTGTGAACTACATATCCCACAATTCTCCATTCTGGGGATTCGAACTGACTGACAGACACTCTACAGATACCTAAGTGTGGCTCACCTGGGAGACAGGCCTGAACAGGAATGCTATGAGGCTTAGCTAGGCCTAGCTCCACTCCAGCTTCCTGTTCCTCTTCTAGTGCCAACTCATAGCTTTCTTTCTGAGTCAAAGTCAGTTTTATTTATTTATTTCATTTCATTTTATATACAGTGGTGCCTCGCACAACGAGCGCCCCGTAGAGCGATGAATTCACTCTACGGGGACATTTTTTCAATCACTAATGCGATCACAGAGCGACGGCCCCAATGGGCGAAAATCACAGAGCGAAGGTCAGTAAGCGGTTCGCTTACCGACCTTCACTTTGCGACCCGCCGATCAGCTGTTCCGCGGCTTCAAAATGACCACCGGAAGCCCCAAAATGGCTGCGCACAGCGTTTTCGTGCCCTCGTTAAGCAAGGGGAGGGCGCGAAAATGGCTGCCGGCCACAGAGGAACATCACTGTGCGGTGAGTAAATCAGCCGATTGGAACACATTAAACTAAGTTTAATGCATTCCAATGGCTTTTTTCTTTCCGTACAGTGATGTTTCACACAGTGAGGGTTAATCCGGAACGGATTAACCTCGCTGTGCGAGGCACCACTGTAATTGATTTTTATTTCTATGCTGTCTTTCCACCATGAAGGCACTCAAGGCTGCTCACAATAATTAGAATACAAGTAAAGCTAAAAAGGACAGTAAATATAAATTTGAAAACATGTCCATGTAACCAACACTTTGACTGATAGTTACAGAGCCATCTTCACTGTAGAAGCCCGTTGTCAATGTAATTGCCACCCTCTTTTTCCCACTTCATCATGTCCCCATCATTCCACCAGGTAATCTGCATATATTAACCTGTGACCTAACTATTCTAGGAGGAGCTGGGTTGTAATAAATGGAACTTTACACTGAAATGAATCTGTCAGCCCTTAAGATGCCACAACTCTTAAACTTATTTTTGCTACATCATCAGACTGAGAGGGCCATCTGATTCTGTAAGCCTTGCTTAGTTGCAACAATATCATTGGGGGGTGGGGAGAGAAGAGGTCTGAACCATGTGCAGCTAAAGTAATGTCTCATGCTTTGCAGATAAAAACACTTCTTCCACTTGCTGTAAACAAAACTCTTACTAACATTCCTGCTCCACTCCCAAACTCATACAAGGTCAAGTTGCTTAGCTGTCACTGTGGTTCTTTGAGTGGGCATTTGTGAATATTTATGGGTTTTGCACCTGTGCAGAAGCCAGCCTTGGAATTTTCCAGAGCTTCAGGAGAAATTTTCACCTCCCCAGCACTACTGCACATGTTCAACCACACCCTAATGGTTCGCATTTCTCCTCTCTCTGCTGCCTACCAGAGAGGTTGGGCGTGACAGAGCGTCCTCCTCAGGAGGAATGTATGAATTCACAGATGACCTCTTGAACTACAGTTACAGCTAAGCAAAATGTCCTGCTTCATTTTGATCTCTGTGAATCACACATATTTTACTGAGGGCCATCCAGAAAGAAACCAAAGGTTTGATCCTTGCCGCACAAGAACAAGCTGTCTTATGCTTTGCAGATAAGAACACTTCTTCCACTTGCTATAAACAAAACTCTTACTAACATTCCTGATCCACCCCCAAACTCATACAAGGACAAGTTGCTTAGGTGTCACTGTGGTTCTTTGAGTGGGCATTTGTGAATATTTATGGGTTTTGCACCTGTGCAGAAGCCAGCCTTGGAATTTTCCAGAGCTTCAGGAGAAATTTTCACCTCCCCAGCACTACTGCACATGTTCAACCACACCCTAATGGTTCGCATTTCTCCTCTCTCTGCTGCCTACCAGAGAGGTTGGGCGTGACAGAGCGTCCTCCTCAGGAGGAATGTATGAATTCACAGATGACCTCTTGAACTACAGTTACAGCTAAGCAAAATGTCCTGCTTCATTTTGATCTCTGTAAATCACACATATTATACTGAGGGCCATCCAGAAAGAAACCAAAGGTTTGATCCTTGCCGCACAAGAACAACCACTCCAATATAGTGTCATGAAAGCTAAAATTCAAGAAATTTATGTAAACAGCAAATGTTGGATTCTGCCAAGAAAAAGATGTAAACTGTGTCACACCTCATCTGTGAATGTTCAAAGATTGTGCAGACAGACTACAAAGCGAGACACTGGTCATTATGTAAAAAAATATAATCTGCTAGCATCCAAGAACCTATGGGAACATCTGATAGAGAAGGCATCAGAAAACAACTGAAGAACTTGTGGGACTTCCAAATTGAAACAAAGAGACACCTTGAGCATAATACACCAGACATAACAGTAATAGAATGAAGAAATGTCTGGATAACTGACACTGCAATTTCAGAGGGTGCCAGAGTTGAAGATAAAGAATTGGGACAATTTAACAAAATATAGAGACCTGACAATAGAAATAACTCACTTGTGGATGAAACACATTTCAGTAGTTCCAGCAGCCATTGGGACATTGTGAACAATGCCTCAGAATTTTATAAACTATTATAACCAGCTGCAGATCTCTGAAATAACACTATCAGAGCTGCAAAAAAACAGCAATATTAGGAACAGCATACACATTACACCGATATTCAACCGAGTCTTTAGTTTTTAGTTAAAACTTGTATCTGTTATATAATACCAGTCAAAGACTGTGCCTGGTATTTCTGAATAATTATAATAAAAATTGGAGGGTGCTGGGGATTGCATGTTGATCATTCCTGCTTTATATCTTTCATTTCTTCCAATAAGCTCAGGGCTTGTCCCTGTTTCTTTTTGCCACTTCATCCTCTCAACAACATTCTGAGGTAGGCCAGGCTGAGAGAAAACGATGGGCCTCAAGTCACTCGCTGTATTTTCATGGCTTGGAGGACATAAGAACCTCGATGACCTAGTCCAACCACACACCAACCACTACCTCACCGGTCTGGCTTGGGCACAATGGCTCTTGACGGGTATTAATATTTTGTCATTACTTGTACAAGTATAACCAGATATATTTTGTCTCCTGAATTCTTAAAGGAAAATGTTAAGAACCTAGATGACCTAGTCCAACAACACACCAACAACAACACATATCACCGGTCTGGCTTGGGCACAATGGCTCTTGACGGGTATTAATATTTTGTCATTACTTGTACAAGTATAACCAGATATATTTTGTCTCCTGAATTCTTAAAGGAAAATGTGGTCCTTACCACCAATGCTGACACCAACAGTATTTCAGCTTTTCTTTCTATCTTTTGACCAAGCTTCCGGGTTACCTAACAAGATAGTAAACACTTGTTTTACCAAAAAGTACCATGATTTTTACACATAATTTTTACAAAACTTCTAAACCATCCTTGAACTCATAGTTATAATTCCTCCAACCAAAATGTTTGTATCAAACCCCATGGAACTTAAGAAGCCTGTTTCAACTGACCATGTTTACACATATTTCCCTGGAATTCACCCATCAAATGATAAAGCTTTGTGTTTTCAATATACATAAGAAAAGCAATCATTGTATCTTTGCTCCATTCACCTTTTGACCATCAAAAGTAGATTATTACCTCTCCCACTGATGGAGCTTTGATATGGGGAGTGAGAAGCTGTGGAACATTTGGCTGGGCGTGGGAGGCAAGCTAAGGGTAGAGGTCTCCAACTTAAGAGGAAGAGATTAAAGATTGATGTTGATGACTCACGAAGCATGAAGCTGCCCCCGTGAACCAATGAAGTATGAATTTATTCATCGATTCATGTGGGTGTTACTAAAAAAACCCCACACCTGACATCCCACCCCCACCCCATCGTGCTGCCGCCCCGTGCCCTCCATGCTGCTGCCCCCATTGACACCCTCCACCATAATCATCACTGCCACCACCACCACTGTCTCCAGCTGGCCTCCACAGCAACGGCCTATAGAAAGGGACACTGGCTGCCCCCCCCCCATCGTGTTGCCACCCCCGTGCCCCCATGCCTAATGGGTGGCTGCCTAATGGCCCATTGATCAGCTGATTGGTGGGCCCACCGGTAGGCAGAATGGGAAAGCCATAAGAAGAGAGGGAAGACTAGCCGTCCCTCTCTTCATGTGGGGGACAAATAAAAATGGGACAATATTTGTCCCTTCTAGATGCCATATTTGCAGAGCCTGAACTCCCTTAAGGTAAGGTAGGGAGAGGAAAGGGGCAGTGGATAGGCTGTGGGGGTGGGTGGCTGCCTATTGGCCCACTGATCAGCTGATTGGTGGGCCCACTGGTAGGCAGAATGGGAAAGCCATAAGAAGAGAGGGAAGACTAGCCATCACTCTCTTCATGTGGGGGACAAATAAAAATGGGACAATATTTGTCCCTTCATATATGTTGGGGTCTCTGGAACCCACAAATATGGACGAATATTTAATGAATCAGCAAATTCTGATGAATATCGCGATCCATTTTTTATTCGTCCCCCATGTCTAGAATAGATTCAAACCATCCTGTAGCCCATAGGCCAGGAGCCACAGGGATGCAGCTAAATTTCCTTTTCTGTGCTCTAAAGGAATATTTCTTAAATCAGATCTGAGAGAATTCTGAGAACAGCTGACATGCAAATTGTCTGACAACTAAAACACAATAGCATAGTTAACATTTTGCATTAATAAAAGTGCAATCCGAGCTGACCTAAATGGTCAAGGGCCAGCTGAACCAACACTAGGTAGGCTGAAGCTGTGCTGAAACAAACTTTCACGCCCAGTTTTCAACAACCTGTTGATGCTGGAAGTTAGGCAGGCCTATTCTTTTTATGTCCTGACTTTGTGCAGACATTGTGATTGTACCTCTGGACTGGAAGGGGTTTGGATTGGGTATAACTTCACTCCTTCCTTTATCCAAATTTGGACCCAGAATCAACAAAGTCAGTTCTGCCAGCAGACTGATTTGTCAACAAATTTCTCAGATCAATGGAAGAGGCTTGTGCCCCCCACAGGCTTGAATTTGGATTGCCCTGCCCATGAGGAATCTTTCTTTCATTCCAGGTATTTGTAAGCCACCTTATAAGCAACAAGTCCATCCAAGACAATAAGGGGAAACCAAGGACAGAAAAGGTGTAATATTCTAACAAAGATGTTAGGCCCCTTGCACTGTGTGAGGAATATAATGTTCCATTTTGGTGTCCTGTAATCTCTGCATTGCTGTGACACACTTCGGAGAGGACCCCATTGATTTCAATGGGGCTTACAATTGCACAAGGTGATACCTTCTTGGTCTGAAAAAGGCCCACCACTCATGCAACGGAGAGCCATGCAAGCAGTTGCAATGGTAGCAATAGGATTCTGGCTTAGAATAGCAAAAATAAAATAAAATAAAATATTTAAAAATGAACAAAATCAAAACAAAACATTGCAAACACCAACATTAACTTAAAATAGAATTAATACAGGCTAACAAACATGTCCAGAGCCCTGGCTCATAATATATGAGGAATCTGCTGCACGTGAAGCTATGATAAGTATTTACGAACAGGTTCATTCGATTCATAATCCTTTGTAGTTGTAGAATATCTCTGTTGCCATTCTTTCATATGTTACTAGTAGCAAAATGACATAATCAAAATGACCACCAAAAAGGGGATGGGGAGGAAAGTAAAGCACTGCAAAAAGAAAAGAAAAGAAAATCGGAGGAGGTGGGTAGTGCTAACTAAAGTCATGCAGTCTTCCCCAGATCAAGAAGGAATCAGATCCCATGTTTTTAGGTTCATTCGATTCATAATCCTTTGTAGTTGTAGAATATCTCTGTTGCCATTCTTTCATATGTTACTAGTAGCAAAATGACATAATCAAAATGACCACCAGAAAGGGGATGGGGAGGAAAGTAAAGCACTGCAAAAATAAAATAAAATTGGAGGAGGTGGGTAGCACAAACTAAAGTCATGCAGTCTTCCCCAGATCAAGAAGGAATCAGATCCCATGTTTTTTGCAATATGCTTCTAAGAAAAGAAGATTGAAGGGATATATGATTACAAGTATTTTCAAATATTTGAAAAGTAGTCATACAGAGGAAGGGCAAAATCTGTTCTCAATAATCCTATGGTGCAGGACATATAATAATGAGCTTGAACTACAGGACTGTTAGAGCAGTACAACAATGGAATCAATTACCTTGGGGAAATGGTGAGCACTCCAGTGATGGAGGCATTTAAGAGAAAATTGGACAACAGTCTGTCAGATCTGCTTTGATTTGGATTTCTTCATTGAGCAGGGGGTTGGACTCGATGGCCTTATAGGCCCCTTTCCAATCAATTATTCTATTATTCTTTTGGGGGTCAGAGTAAGCATAGACATTTCCCACTTGTTGCCAAAATAACTGTTCCTGGAGCCCAGTTGATGATGGAATGAAGTATAAATAATGAGTATCTGAAGTGCCTTCTCTCATACACCAGGCTTCTGATACTACAGACTAAAATGGTCAGCATTTCACTTCATCTCTAGAATACTTACCTCTAGAAGAGTATTCAGACACCCAATAAGAGGATAGATTGGAATGAAGACACAAAAGCAAGTATGAAGCATAACAGCTATTGCATACCATTGCGTAAAAGCTACATCCATCACAATGATGCAGATCAATGCTACCTTGAAAAGAAAAAAGAATGACAAAAGAATTACGAAACTCAAGCCTGAAGGGTATGTTAAATATCTGGGAACATTATTTCTTTACACTGATAAATCTTGATGCTGCTAAATTAAACTTTTCAACCAGAAAACTATTGGAATGTAGGGTTCATTTTAGGCGAACTAGTCCAGGCAAACAATCCACATTTGCTCTCATAGTGAAAACATCAGTAAAAAGGTATGCCTCCTGTACACATAGGAGACAGGATTAATCTTGCTCTATTTTACTTGGTGTAAAGCTGTACATACTGCTCATCACGTGATTCATATGAATATATGTGTGCTAAATGATGTTTAGAGAAAATTAAGGATATGAATAGCTGGCTAAATTAACCAGGTCTGGATCAAGCTACATTGTACTGAACAGTGTCAGTTTGAGGTGCACTATGTCATTTTGGGGTGATCCTTGCATCCATGTACAAGAATCAAGTAGCTTCAGGACAAGAAATCACACTCTACCTCAAAGCAACCTTAATTGACCTTTTTTTTTCTTTAAAGGGAAAGGGGGGGGGGAAATTAACAAAAATACCTCTTCTTTTCCCTTCCTCTGTGGGAAGTGAGAGGAAGCTTTCCATTTTAAGACATGGTGCATCAGTACCACTTACAAAGGCTTTTTAAAATACCCTTTGCTTCACCCCTCTCTTTGTCCATGGAGGAGCAGGAGAAACCTTTCAATTTCCCAAGATTGTCAAGTGGCTTAAGCAAAACAACACTTTAAGCATGCTGGAATCAAACCAAAATGGAATGATCCTAACACCACCCCCACCCACTAAAAAAAACAGTAGCTCCAGACAGGGACCCAGAAAGATGCAGGTAAGCATGGATCAGGGATGGGAAGGTTAGTGGTTGCCCATATATCATGTGGTTACTTGGGAAAAGAGCGAACCAGCTCATCCCGAAACAGGACCAAACTGTGGGACAAATCCCCATTGATCACACCCACAGTTTGCAGGTCTAAGTGCAAATGCAGAAAAAAATATAATTGAGATAAAACTTAATTTAATAGCTGAATAAATAAAGACTGAATACTATTTTGGTAAGCAGCAAAAACAAATGAATAACTGCACTTCTACTTACGGTGGAAAAAACAAATGACCAAAATTCTTTAGTGTTTTGTATGGTTTTGAAGGTGAAGGAGACAACATAGTGGAACAGAATTACTGACGGTATGTAGCCAATAAGGCAAAAAACCTACAGGAGAGAAAAAACACATTTTTGACATTTCATTATGACTTCAATACTGCTGGCTCTTTTTCAACTCTTCCCACTCTGATTCTGCTTTTTGTAACACCTCAGCAAATGATCTGGAGATCTCAAAAGCTTTCACACATTTCTGTGGCCCTAGAATTTTTGTGTTTTCCTATTGCAAGGGGTGTGTGTGTGTGTGTGTGTGTGTGTGTGTGTGTGTGTGTGTGTGTGTGATTTTAACATTCTTTCAAGTTATTCATAACACACTCTGACAAGAAAACATATAACAATAACTGCAAACAGTGAACAATCCACCACCCCTTTTTGAGGGATGAAGCTTCTACAAGGCTCCGTAGAGTCTTTAGTTTCTTCATGTTTCCTTCTGAGCATCTCACACGGGTGGCTGAAAGGCCGCTGGTCCCAGGGACCTACAAAACTGAATGTGCAGGCCATTTCTGAATGGGACTGTTGCAACTCTATATGGTACGCACAGCTGTAACAACAGACAGGGGTGCTCCACTGCACAGTCCTATGTGTTTTTGAAGAGTGGAGGGAGAGCGAAACCTAGGCCCAGCACCATCACCCGGGATGTTCAAATTGAATGTTGGCTCCACCCGGACTGACACCATGATTTACTTTTATTTTACAAGACTGCTGCTGAAAAAAAGAAGTGCTGGTCTAGGCACCATCTTGTTGCTGCTCTGTGACTGGGCCTATCTCCCCTACCCACAGCAACCCCATGCTGGGAACCAGAGGCGTTTGCCAATTTAATATTGCTGCAGTATTGAGGGCTTTTATTAGGTGAAACCTTATTCTTTGCTCAGAACCAGAGGCAACGGCCTCTCTCCCGCTAAGGTGGCCACTAGAAACAAATCCCATCTCTGCTTCTACTGCCTTCTGTGAAACATCCAGACACAAGGTGAGGTGACAGCCTTGGCAGTATGTATCCCATTTATCACAGTGCAATTTGTAAAAATTCTTTTTAAAAAGGGCAATGTGAGCTTTTCTGATATGCCTCTTGCCTTTTAAATTAGGCTATTTCAGAGCAGACAAACACAGCACGCAGCAGTAGGAGATGTTTTCATCTGCAAAATGTGGAAGGTGTTTCTTTCTTTTATTCTTATTATTCTTATTCTTATTCTTATTCTTATTCTTATTCTTATTCTTATTTTTATTCTTATTCTTATTCTTATTCTTATTCTTATTCTTATTCTTATTCTTATTCTTATTCTTATTTGGAAAAAAGCACCGGAGCGGTCTGGTTTTTGAGGAAGGAGTAAGGGCAAGCCCCAAATAATGCTTTGCTATCCTTTAAAAAAAAAAAAATTCTGCTATGCCGATGTTGTGATGTAAGCCCCTTCCATTGCTGAGCCCATCCAGTTTCTTGGTATAACCAGCAGCGACAGGCGTTGAAGCAAAATAGGAGGTGGCTAGAGAGCATCTGGAGACACGACCCAGCAGTATCCAATTTTAAAGCTGCAAAAACATCTATTTAGCTAAAGTGAAGGCTACAAGAAGATCTTGCTTCGCCTCCCAGATAAGCAAAGCCCAAGACCATCAAGCCAAACTCTTTCATACTGTACATGATTTATCCGGGGTTGGTCACAGTGACAGGCCTCCCAGTAGTATCTCCTGTGACCAATTTGCAGCCTTCTTCAAACACAAAGTGGATGCTATCCGCCAGGATCTGGATCTCTCCTCTTTATCAGTAGATGGAGCAGAGACATCCACTGCACCTTCTTGCCCAGTGAGTCTAACACAGTTTCAGCTTGTGATGTCAGTAGACCCTTGCCCAGCCTGGATCTTGAAAGCAGGTAGACCTTTTAAAAAAGCCCAGTTTGGTGGCGAATGATATTAACAACTATCAACCCATTGCAAATATCCCTTTTATTAGCAAGTTAGTAGAGAGAGTGGTGGCTGACCAACTTTAGGCACTTCTGGAGGAAGCCAATGCCCTTGATCCATTCCAGTCCAGGTTCAGGCCATGTCATGGCACAGAAATGGCACTGGTCACCCTGCAAGATGACCTTATGAGGGATACAGATAGAAGCAAAACGTCCTTGTTGGTCCACTTTGACCTGTCAGTGGCCTTTAATACCGTCGACCACAGTATCCTCCTGGGGAGGCTCTCTGGGATGGGGATAGGAGGTTTGGCCTTGGCCGGGCTGCGGTCCTTCCTGGGTGACCATCCTCAGAGAGTACAGCTTGGAAAGATGCTGTCCGCTCTGTGGACTCTCAATTGTGGAGTCCTTCAGGGGTCAGTCATCTCCCCAATGCTATTTAATATTTAGATGAGGCTGCTGGGGAAGGTCATCAGAAGTTCTGGAGCTTCGTGCTACCAATATATGGATGACACCCAGCTCGCTCTCGCCTTCCATCCCTCTGCAGTGGATGCTGTTCCATCCCTTGAGCACTGCCTGAATGCCGTGCTGGGATGGATCAGGGATAACAGACTGAAGCTGAACCTGGGCAAGATGGAAATCCTGTGGGTAGGGGCCCAAGTGTTTGTGCTCTGGGTGTTTCCCTCTCCTTTGGGGGGCAGGGCTACTCTTTCCATGAAGGATGAGGTGCGCAGGGTCCTGCACTGTCAATGGAATCTCAGATAATGTCTGTGGTATGCGCTGCCTATTTCCATTTATTATACTTTTATTATGTTATTTCTTAGTGTAATTTGTCCTAGTAGCTCTTATATTTTGTTTGATCGTTATTAATAATTTTCATTTTTTATGTTATTGTTTTATTATTATTTTTGTAAACTGCCCAGAGTGGCCTTGGTAACTAGAGTGGCTGTATAAAAATCAATCAATCAATCAATCAATCAATCAATCAATCAATCACTCAATCAATCAATCAATCAATCAAAGAAAGAAAGAAAGAAAGAAAGAAAGAAAGAAAGAAAGAAAGAAAGAAAGCTCTCTAATACTTAGATGATAGCTTTCTACAGGGCCTGAGACCTGAATCATACAGAATGGCAATAAGCGAGACTCATACCAGCTCTTAACAGTGCCTCTCAAAACACTCAAAATAAAGATAATACAAGTGTGATACTTTGCTAGAGAAAAAATATCCCCCCCCCCAAAAAAAAAGATGCTTAGATCATATGATAATGAAAAGTCTAGGTTTCTGTTGCACAGGTAAAACCATTATGGGGAGAAAGAAATGTATCTGAAATAAAACAAATTCTTACCACAGCAAGAAACTCTTCAGGAAGAAAATGAATTTCCTGGTGAACTGTGAACAAGATTCCTGTCATCAGAAGGAGAACAACACAATATAAAGGAATGTCAACTAGTGCTTGTCCACACCAGTAAGCAGAGGGATAAAGACCAGATATCTTGAGCTGAGTGTAGGCTTTGATCTGAAAAATAAACCAGTTTAAACATATGTAAAGTATGGTCAAAGGTAGCAAATATAAGAAAGAACACAGGGTCGGATTCAGAATACCTTTCTGCTTGCAGTAGCAGCCTGCGAAGGAAGTTCTGTTGAAGCCCCCCCAGAAAGGAAGAAAGGGACATCTTTCACTATTTTTCTCCACCTCCTCTTGGAGCTCCCAGCTTTACCTCCCATGTTGTCTAAAGGGGTCTCCTTATTTCCCAGCTCAGATTTCTGGGCAATACTGGGGGCTGCAGGTGGAAGGGGAAAATCTCTGAAAAGCACTGTCTCCCCTATTCTGCTACCTTCTATCGATGAAAGGGGCAAATTCTGAAACCAACCCAGTCTTGATGTAGCTCTGTCCGCTCAGTTGGCATACATGAATCAATGATAAAATGCATGCACACATCTATGTTATATGACCTGGGATGAACTTTTAAAATACAGCACAGTACAGATCCTATAGTCACAAACCGTGTCTCACTGATGTGAAAGACGGCACACCCGATGGCACTAACAGATGAAGGAACCACTATGACACTTAAAAAAAAACACAAAAGAACAAAAGTTGAGTGAGAAACAGATCGAGAACAGCGTAAAGGAAAGTACAGTAGTGCCAGAGGGCAACTGTACCAGGCAGTACATACCTTCCAACATTTCACAGGTGTAAACAGGGACCCTCCTGTGCACTAAGGCAGAATCCAGCCGCCCCGCTTTGTGCCTTGACAGACAATGGCAAGGCCCACACAATCCTGACTCAAATGTGTCACAAGCAGAAAGCAGGAATTAAAAGTGCATGCAAACAGATGGCTCCAGATGACAAAAGCAGAGAGGTAAGCCAAAAGCTACAAGGCAAATCAAATACATATATAATACACATATCAGAACAATATAAAACACAGAGAGCCATGTTGCTTCATCAGGAGAAGAAGAAACAACAACACCAAACTAAAATTCACAGGCAGACAATACCTTTCTGGGGACCAACTAAAATTCTACAAAAGTGTGCAAGCTTCTAAATCCCCCAGAACTCTTCAGCAGGCTAGGTGGCATAAAAAATTAGAGGGGTGGGTGTGGGGAAGAAGCAGGGCAGTCCAAAAATTTGACCAAGTATTGTTAGGGTGATGAAGTCTGTTGTTAAATTTAGTCCCAAGACAGATTTCAGAGTGGATGAGTCAAAGGCAGGCATGCTGCTACCAGATTGCACCCTGAAGTATGCACTAGGAAAGACCCAGGCTCATATTTCAGAAACTCACAATCTCTTCTGTATGCTGTGTAGGGTTTTTTTTTGTTTTGTTTTGTTTTTTTGCTTGATATCACAGAAATATTTCTGTTGTAATATATTAGACCAGTCATGGTGACAACTAACTGACTAAATGATTGTTATGGTCCCTCCTGATTTTCCATCTGCTCATTTCACATAATGGCCCAAATCCTGTTGGTGCAGCTCTGTGGACGTAAGATTGATGGAGACATGAATCATTGCCTTTTGCTTTTAATTAAAAGTTTCCTATGCTCCCTCCCATCTCAGGGTCCGAGGCTCCCTAGGGATCACTTTTGACCTAGAAAAGCCTTTGGAGGCCTGAGGATGGGGGAGAAGCCCTTAACATATGAAAACTGCCACCACCTATCCCAGTGTCTGTCTTTAATTCAAGATAAAAGGTGGTGGATGGTGACATAATTAACCATAGATGGACAGAGCTGTGCTAACAGAATCACAGTTTTTACATATCTAACCAGAGGAACTACTGGATCAATATACGGGGACATGCCTTTCTTTCTTTCTTTCTTTCTTTCTTTCTTTCTTTCTTTCTTTCTTTCTTTCTTTCTTTCTTTCTTTCTTTCTTTCTTTCTTTCTTTCTTTCTTTCTTTTTCTTTAAGGATCATTTAGTACAGTTACCCTGTGATTTTCTGCATTCTCCATGGTAAAATACGATGGCATCCCAGTTATAGTGACTCCTAACGTCAAACCTTGGACAACCAGCACCGTCATAAAACCTCTGTCAGTAATTCTCTGCAAAATAATAGATTGCCATATTAGAGAACTGAAGACCACTTGCAATGAATTACAGTGTTCATTGATACAGGGTGGGGTGGGGGAATCTACTAGCAGGTTAATACACTTATTTCTGTTCCTTCTCGTTGTTGTTGTTGTTGTTGTTGTTGTTGTTGTTTAGTCGTGTCCGACTCTTCATGACCCCATGGACCAGAGCACGCCAGGCCCTCCTGTCTTCCTATATGGGGCAGACACAAAGTGACTGGCTGCACCTTGTTTTGAGGACTGCAAATTCTACAGTCCTGTAATATATAAAAATTGCAACGTGCCTTGATTTTGAATGCATATACTGAAAAAAGAAACATGTACAGAACTATCTTCCCTTCACACTTCCTTTTACAATGTCAGATTTGGGAGTTGAAATGTACTTACTTGAAAGAAAGAGCTACTCCAGACTTGAATGTTTTCTGTTACATTTAAACTGTGCAGATACAGGTTACTAATAATATTCATCATTACAGGCAAGGAATGTACCATGGTCCGATTGAAAGCAGGTGTGAAGATATAATCCTGCAACAAAAGCAACAATAGACACTTAGCATTTTAGCGACACATTTCTGGTGCTAAACCTTTTCTCCAGGTTTGAAACCCAACCAGATGAATCCAGATCCATAAAATTGTCTTACACATAAGAGAATCAGAACCACAACCACTGCTCTTTCTACTGCTGCCGCCATAACAGTGAAAGGCGGGAGGGGGGCAAGGAAGAAGAAGATCTGACACATTCTGCTTCTACGGTGAGCCACCTGCACAGGATTTTACTATGTTACTTGGGGAGCAGAATTCATTCCCTTCTGTTACCCACAGTGATTCACCTCCACTGGTTGCCTGTGGCATCCAGGTCAGGTTCAAAATTTTGACACTCCACGGTTTGGGCCCAAGTTACTTGTTGGAGAGTCTCTCCTTAATGTCATCTGCCCAACGCACTAGATCATCCCAGTCGAGGCTCCTCCAGGTGGCCACCCCAAGGGAGGCCCAGAAATGCTCTTCAAGAGGTAGGACCTTCTTTGTGGTGGCTCCAACTTTATGGAGAAGTTCTTTCTGGAGAAGTTTTGTCTAATCCCCTCCCTGCTGAAATTTAAGAAGCAGCTAAACATATTGCTTTTCAGGGAGGTTTTCCATACCCCAGTTGATCACCTTCCACTTTTTTCTTTCCCATTTTCTTTTGCACCCCCCCCTTTCCTCCATCTACTTTGGGTTTACAGTTCTGGATTAACCTTCGCTATGCGAAAAAAATTTTGACACTCCACGGTTTGGGCCCAAGTTACTTGTTGGAGAGTCTCTCCTTAATGTCATCTGCCCAAC